CATAAAATACGCCGCTCTAGCTGGCAAACTCGACACTCACTTACTTGACACGTTCTACTAACGATAAGGACAGTTGAAGCATTCTACCCCACTCACAATGGATCTTGAATGTTCCAACTGTAAACAGACATATCTAAGTTGACTCAAAACAAAGGTGTTCTCTCTCACACTCACATTCATTTTATAGAGAGGTTGGTTTCAGTAAGTCAGAGAAAATGGGATAACGGAGGACTGAGGTGTCTTGAAGTGATGAGAAAACGGACTCCTCAGATGGAGGACTCAAACGAAAGCCAAGTTACATGTTTTGTGGGCTATTGAGCGTAATATGAATCATTTGATTTTTGGCGCTAACTGACGTGTAAGACCGTGGTCATTACACTGGATGGTATAATTGTACTGATCCAGCTTCCCAATCCACCGTGCCAGTTGTCCTTCTGGTTTCTTTACAGTTTTAAGCTGCGTAGTCAGTCCGGATGGTGAATCTAGATCCGGATGGAAAAAAGTCAAAACTCTACCACAGTTAAGAGTTCCTTCCTAGTCACACAATAATTTTTTTATGGAGAGCTTAACTTCTTGCTGTAGTATGCCACTATGTACTCGATGTCATCCTTCTTCTGGGAGAGCACCCCACCGATGCCGTCATCACTAGCATCACAGTCCAAGATGAATGGTTGAGTTGGGTGCGGATACGGGAGCAACCGGGGAGCTGGCCAAGGCATCCTTTAGCTGGTCGAAGGAGCCTTGACTCTCAGTAGTCCACACAAACTTCTGCCCCTTCTTAGTCAGCTTGTGCAACGGTGCTGTGACCATCGACAGTAGTAGGTACAAAGCTCCCTTATACAAGTTGACACTGGCCAGTTTCTCACCACCGCCACCTTCTCTGGGTCTGTGCGTACTTCGTCTTCACTTACTATATGTGCCAGACATTAAAATTCCTTCTGGAACAAGTAACATTTCTTTGGGCTCAGTTTAAGGTGTGCTGCCCGGAACTGGCCAAACACTTCCGATAGCCTCCTCAGTTCCTACTCGAAAGTTTTGCCAAAGACAATCACGTAGTCCGGATATATGACGGCAGTCTTCCAGAACCCTCTCCATGAGGCGTTCGAAGATAGCTGGTGGATTGCACAGGCTGAATGGCATAACTTTGAACTGCCATAGCCCTTGTCCATGTGAAAATGCTGTCTTTTCCTTGTCTTCCTCAGCCATCTTCACCTGATGATACCCAGACTTCATGTCGAGTGTTGAGAACCACTTGGTGCCTGTCAGAGCATCCAGTGTGTCATCGATTCTTGGCAAGGGGGAGGAGTCCTTCACCGTCACGTCATTGAGGGCGCGGTAGTCCACACAGCACCACACTGAGCCACCCTTCTTCCTCACTAGGACGACTACTGACGCCCACGGACTGCCGGACTTTTCGACCAGACCTTGGTGAATAAGGCCCCCTACCGCCTTCTCCATTTCCTGGCGACGAGCTGGTGCTATCCTCCGAGGCGGCTGCTTGATTGGGCGGTGATCCTCAGTGTCGATGTGATGCTGTACCAGGTCTGTATAACCCAGGTCTAGGTTTCCTGCAGAGAAGACGTCCGTATACTTCAATAACAATTGTTCCAGTTGTATCACTTGAGCCTCACCCAGACGCTGGGAGCTCCTGGAAAACAAGTCCTGCAAATGGTCGGGCAGACCATTTTTCTACTTGACCACGCTCCTCTTGCAAGTCCTGGGCTGCTACTCCTGGTCGACCTTTTGGCAAAGTCCAACGGCCACTCCCTGCTGTATTTTCTTTGGCCGGAGAGAGAAATTGACCACAATTACAGGTACTTCCTCTGCAGATGGATCGACTAAAGTTATCCCCACCATCACTCCATCTTCTACTCCACACTGATCATTAGGCTCCACCATTCCTAGACGGGTATGCAAGGCACCGTTTACCTTGCATGGCAACAGCACCTCTGAACATAGGGGAATAACTACTGACCGCCTAGCTGTAACCTTAGCACTCTCATGCTTCACAGTCCTCAGCGGTACCCACTTTCCTTTAATATTCAGCTGCATCGAGCCAAGGTCCAATTGACACCTGCGAGGTAGGAGGTAGTCCAGGCCCAGGATGCAAGGGTCTTCTATATCCGCTACATAAACCTGTAGGGTTTCTTCTTCCTCTCCTAGCTTGATGCCGATATCCACTGGTCCCTTTAGCATTGCAGATTGTCCAGTTATCCCGCACAGCTGCTGGGAGGTCTCAACTAGTTTTCGATGACTACGTCCGGCCTCACAAAAGTCTGCTTCGAGGCTGTGTCTTTCACCAACGGACACCTTATGCCATCGATCTCACCTTCAACCTAGACACTGCTTACAGTGGTTCGGTTGTATTTTGTCAACAGTGGGGCTCTGGTGAGACAGGCTGGTCGTTGCCCCTCAGCACCAGCCACCTCTAGTTTTCCCGTCTTAGTTGGCCGCTCTTCTTTCCATCCCTTGGAATTTTGTGGGCACTTAGTCTTAAAGTGTCCATCTTCTCCACACGTCCAACATCCTCTCTTCTCCACGTTCTTCTCTGTATTGCCCTGCTCTCGCTCTCGTTCACGCTTGTAACAGTCCTCCTGTTTATGCCCAATCTTTTCGCAATACCAGCAGGTTCCTTTAAATCTCTCTGTCTCTTGTACTTGGCCCTTTCGTGAATTAAACCCGGAGCTAGACTCCGTCCTGAAGCTTGGTAAACTTGACCTCACCTAAGATTCAAACTCCAGGGCTCTAGCCAAAGCTTCCTGTAGAGTTACAGGCTTGAATTGCTTCACCTGAATCTTGAGCAGCGAGCTGTCCAATGCGTCCACAAACTGGTCCCTCAACAACACGGCTAACAGGCCAGGTGATGCTCCAGGGTACGCCCTATGAGCCATACTTTTCGGGTCTTGAGCTAGCTGTTGGAGTATTTCACCACGATTACGGGTACGAGTGCAGAATCTGGCCCTGTAAACCTCATTTTGGTGCTTGGTTCCATACCTTCGTTCCATTACCTTTACCAGTGACATGTAACTGCTTCGCTCTGCTCATGGCAACTGGCTGGTCCATAGTCACGCCCTTAAGACTCGTGGCTAATTGCACTGCACACTGCTTGTCGTCCCATCCGTTTTGTTCAGCCAGTAACTCAAACTGTGCTTGGTATGCTTCCCATGAGACCTTGCCATCGAATTCCACTGGTTTCTTCTTCACTGGTACTCTTGGATAGTTCATCATTTCACTTGACGTAGCTCGGGGTCTGAACTCAGGTGCTCTGTAATTCAGTTCAACACTTCTCTTTTCCACACGCTCATCGTATTTTCCAGAAATTTCAACATATGCATTCCGCTCAGAGTGTGCTTCCATCCTGCTACTGACTTTCTGTAGCTCACTGTTCACCACTGTTAACTCCTCTCGTACATCTGTGATCTCACCACTCACTTTTTGTTTGTGCTGTTTTAATTTTTCACCCACTTCCACTTACACCTCATGAAATGCACCATTCCATCTGTTACACATCGCTTGCAAAGCCTCATCCCGTTCTTGAATTTTCTTGTCGATCTCTTCCTGCAGCTGCTGTAGTTGTTGCTTCTGTTCTTCTCTCTGTTCTTGCAGTATTTGTTTATGTTTTTTCTCTCTATTCCTGCAGTTGTTCCTGAATTTTCACTTGCACCTGCACATTTTCATGTTTCAGCTCTTCTCGTTGTTCTTGTAGCTGTTCTTGCAACCTTGTTTGTTGCTCTTTCTGTTCTTCCAGTAGATGTTTCTGTTCTTCTCGTTGTGATTGTAAGAATTGCATCAGATCAGCCATGAAAATCTCCCCTTGCCTGACCTGACTTCTGGTCTGGACACCTTCTCCTTCCATCTTGACTGATATCTCACTGCTAGGCTATCCCATCCTGACACCAGTGTTACGATCCTCCTCCTTTCATCGCTTACCCAGCTTCCACCACTGGTTACTTTACTTACTTTTTTATCCTCTTCACAGATCGGCTCGTTAGCCGCTTGGGCGATCGGTCACGTCTCTGTAACGCACTGTTGGCAAGTATTGGGCATGCACCGGCTCCTGAATTTACCTAAACTTGCTCCAGTGTTGGTCAAGTCTGGTCTTGAAAGAGCTCACACTCGGTGCACAACACTTTCTCGCAGATTGTTCCAAGAGTTCACAACTCTCACGCCGAAAAAGTTTGCCCTCACAGTTTTCTGGACCTGCATAAATTCTGGTAGGCCTACCCTCCTGTATTAACACTGGACTTGAGAGGAATGACCCCCACTGCACCTCTAAGACCAATTCGCCTTATTGTACAGATATTAATTGTAAAAAATAAATAAAACATTTATTTGGAACAGTGCCGGATTTAGACCTATGGAGGTCCATGGGCAGCCTCTTTGTGGAGGCCCCCCTCATTATAACTACCCAAGAGGATGGGGTGGCGAGTGAAGCGAGCCTAACATCTGGGAGTTCCGGGGGGCTGACAGCGCCCCCCGGGAAGATTTTGAAATTTGAACACTTCTTTGGAGAATTTTGAAGCCATATGCAGTTATACGGTTCATAGGAAAACCAGGTATTCATGAATTTCAAGGAGTAGCTAGCCTAATTTCTATCACGCTTCTTGCTGAACATAGTTTTACGTGATGGAATAGTTAACATGAATTTTAAAGAATGAAAATAAAAATAACCCAAATGAGTAAACAAATAAATAAAATATTGTAATATGTGGAGGCCCCTGGGCAGCTGCCCACTTTGCCCACTCCTGAATCCGGCCCTGATTTGGAATGAAAATACTTCAAATGTACAAAAACTGAACCTCCCTAATAACACCGGGCAATCCACTTAAACTTTGTAATTGTAGTATATGGTTTAATATTTTCTTACAATCCTAAATTAATTAAACTGAAAAATTGTCAGTAGAGTTGATTTATGCCTGAGAAGTAACTTCACATGTAAGCGGCGTCTCCTCGGTAGTTTTAGTAACCGTGAGACCGAATGTAAACAACCATCAGCTGAGCCTGGTGGAGCAGACGAGGGGCTGACGGTGACCATCTGAGTCCTCATCCCGTCCCAGTAAATATTATTAAAGCCATTTTTAAGTAGTTTGAGTTTAAGAGTTATTGTAGGAGTTTCTGCAGCAAAACATCAAAAAAGGTAGGTTCAGTTGTACTTGATTTGCATATTTAGTCCACACTGGAAAATGTAAGGTTACTAGAGGGAAAATACCTGTACTAAGAAATAGAAGTTAATTAGAAGAATAAACGGGAATCTCTAACAAATAACGTTTTCTTTTGTAATTGATGGTGATTTAAATGAATATAACCTTTACTTTTCAAGAGCAAAATGAATATTTATGGAGATATGACCCACTACCAATGAAAATGAATGCACGAATCAAATCAAAACGACAATGCACAGAACCTTACCTAACCTCATCTCACCTAACCTTACCTAACCTCATTTCAACTACCTAACCTCACCTAACGTCTTAACCTGTACATTGTCGTTTCTATTTTGCTACTATCATCCAAACAACATCTCTAGAAAAAATGAACATGATGGATATTTTGCAGGGTTTTTTTTGCCAGTAATGGACGATTAGCCAATCAGAGCACACTCACAGTAAATTAGCGTTAGTAGGAACTTAGCCGGTCACGACAAAATATCCGCTGCGAAAAACTAAACCAAACAAACATATAGAAACCTGACCCAACTTTACCTAACCTTACCTTAACCAATGGTGGAGGTTGTTCATAAGTAATTAATGTGAAGAAGTAAATAACAAATGTAACCCAACAAGCTGGAGAACTACCAAAGATGTAAGATTTTTTATAACATCAAAATACCTCCCAAACTATAAATTTCTTCCAAAAATGCAATTAAAGCTTTATCTTTTATCCTATAAAAAAAAATATAGCTTCCCATCCATGTCCTCTACTGAATCCTTATTGTTGCTGCACCAAAATTTTATATTTGTATATAGGTTCTGTCATACAGTACAGTGGTCCCTCGGTTAACGAACACAATTCGTTCCAGAAGGTTGTTCGTTAACCGAAAATTTTGTTAACCGAAACCATTGTTTCAATGGGTTTTTGGTTAATTGGTTCCAGCTCACCGAAAATTACCTAAAGTAAAAAAAAAAAAAAATGCAGTAAAGTTCACTTACTTTGAGGTGTGTATGTAGAAGGCTCCTGGATGATGATGCTGATGTGCATTTGAAGTGGGAGGTGGAGGAGGAGAAGGGAGAAGAGAAGGAAGTGGAGGTGGAGGAGAAGCATTTTACTGCTTCTTGGAAGGTGAGTCACCTTCCATGAAAATGTCAGGAACCTCTGGACTGACAAATTCTCCAGCAGGAACATCCTCTCTCATTCTTGAAGTGGAAGGCTGAGGGGTAGCATCTGTTTCCCGATGCCTTTTAGTAAAGAAACTGTCAATTTTGGGTTGTGGGGCATTTCTCCTCCTCATCATTAACTGATGTTTGAAGGAGACCATTCTGTCCTCAACATTACACAAAATAGGTTCTGTTGTTTCCACATCTGGGTGCCTTGAAGCCAGTTTCCTGAACATCTCCCAGTGGTGAACAACATCTTTCAAAACTGAAGTAGACATTGTATGGTCATCACTTTCCTCCTCACCACTGTCAGCCTCCAACATCTCATCCAGTTTGCAAGTCATCAGGAGTAAGTTCCTGCTCATGAGACATCACAAGCTCTTCCACATCAACCTCCTCCACTTCGAGGCCCAATGACTGACCAATGGACACAATCTCCTTGTCCAACTCTGCTTCTTCTTTAAATCCCTCAAAATCATGAACTGCTGATGGCCACAGTGCTTTCCATGCAGAATTGAGGGATCAAATGGAGGATGTTAAATTGTGTCTAACAGAACTGTGCCAGTGTTAGTTCAGGATCAGTGGAAGTTGCCTGAAAACACCTCCTGAACATTTTCTTCATGTACAACTTCTAGAAGTTGCTGATCTCATTCTGGTCCATTGGCTGCATGATTGATGTAGTGTTGGGAGGCAAAAACAACACTTTGACAAAGTCAAATTGAGCCTCCAAAGTGCTGGCAAGTTCAGGGTCATGACCAGGGGCATTATCCATAAGGAGAAGAGCCTTTAAAGGGAGTTTATTGGTGGTTAGGTAGCTCTTGACAGAAGGGCAAATCACCTCAACAGCCCATTCATTAAAGAGCTGTCTTGTCACCCATGCCTTACGGTTGGACTTCCAATAAACTCCAAGCTTTCCTCTTACCACTTTTTGTTGTTTGAACACCCTGGGGTTCCTCTGAGTGGTAGACAAGCTTAGGCTTCAGTCGGAAATCCCCTGAAGCATTGGCACCAAGCAATAGAGTGAGTCGGTCCTTCATGGGTTTATGCCCAGGTAAAGAGGCTTCATCTCTGGTGATGAATGTCCTTTTAGACATTTTCTTCCAGAACAGCCCAGTTTCGTCCACATTGAACACTTGCTGTGGAAGATAATTTTCTTCATCCACCAGTTTCTTAAAGTCCACTACAAACTTTGCTGCTCCTTCTTTATCTGCACTTGCAGCCTCACCATGCCTAATAACACTGAAAATGTCACTTCTTTTCTTAAATTTTTCAAACCAGCTCTTGCTTGCCCGAAAATCTTCGAACTCTGTGCCAGAAGAACCAGGTTGATCTTCCTTTAAATGTTCGTAAATCTCCCTGGCTCTTTCACAAATAAATTCAGTAGAAACTGAATCGCCTTTCATTTGCTTTTCCTCGATCCAAATGAGAAGTAACCTTTCTGTTTCTGCTATCAATGATCTACCTTTAAACAGTCTGGTAAATTTGTCTCTCACTTTCACTTCTTTGAACTTGTCTTTCTGTGCAAGAATTGTTGACACAGTTGATGCCGACATGCCATAGTCTTTACTAAGCACATTTGTTCTAATGACCTGTTCATGTTTCTTTATGATTTCCTGCTTAACCTGGATTGAAATAACTTTTCTCGATTTCTTTGGAGCCATGCTGGATTCGATTTTAACACTGAAATTTTAAGTTTTATTGCTGTAAATAAAGAATATTTTCTTGAAATAAACACTGCACTGCGCTACATATTATCAATATGTAAAATATATTTCCAAATGACCAATAATTTGACTGGAAAAACAGAAAATAAAGCATTTATGTTGAAGAGTCTCAAACAAGATGTACTGTACCTTCCACTGAGCAAACTGACGCCAAGCTTGGTGTGTTGAGTGGCTGTTTGGCGCTCGAAAAACAAGTTTCCTGTACTTCAATTATGTTCAATAATTGTTAAAGTGACTAAAAAATTTAATGTAAAATTTTTAAAATTATTTAATAGTACAACCTTCTTGATATTTACTAAAATGGTAACGAATTTAAGCCACAGAACCCTATTACTGTATTGGCGGACTAATGCTACAGCTGGTGAGCAGCCGAATGCAAGCGAAAACATGTTGGGGAAAATTCGTAAGGAATTATTATACCGAAATTGTTTTGTTAACCGAAGTGAAGAATCTTATGGAAGGTAATTCGTTAACTGAAATTTCGTTAACCGAGACGTTCGTTAACCGAGGGATCACTGTACTTGATTTGCATAGTAAATTTCCATTTTTAGTTGACAGTGTTTAGTTATGCGAGAAAAGATGGATAAACCTCTAAAAAATTTCAGGGAAAATGCAAGTTTATTTAGAAGATGGATGTTTTTATATGGAAGTAAATCATGTTCAATAATTCTAAACCAAAAGATTACATGAAGGCATCATTAAAACTACAATAGCCTATATTTTGGCTTCAAAGAAAAAGTTTTCTACCTGCCCAAAACGGTCAGATATTTCACTTTTCACAAATTTATTACTTAACATTCAGAATAAGTACCCGACTATCTTGCCAGATGATCATCTCTCAGGAATTAGTCTTAGGCCTCTGCTCCACTGGTGAATGAAAGTGTGTTCTTGAACTATGTCTGATTTTATTTAGCAAGAACAGTCTACTGAACATTATCAAACATTGTCTTTTATTCTTGCTAAAGTCCAACAGAGCATGGCACTGAGTGTTTTGTAAGTAGTAATCTAAAGTTTGGTTATTCTTGGTCATGGGCCACTGACCATCCAGCGGTGTAGTAATAGGAGTCCCGTTTTTTAAAATACAATACAAGAGTATAATTTAATAAACAGTGCAAGAACTCACTACAGTTCTGTACTATACAGTACTTTTAGAAAGTTCATAAATAATTTTTATTCAAGAGAAATATAATTATTTGAACACCTTTCTTTTTAAAACTGATTTTCAATATGAGTTTTACCATTCAAATCTGAAAATATATTGTATAACTTCCCTGTGATATTAAATATATCCTCTGCTTTCAGTGCCCCGTGGTGTTTGGCATGGAGAGCCTTGGTAGAGCTTCACATGTCAGTGGTGCCGCCAAAAGATAAATAATGAAGCTTCCAAGTTACGAGTAAGGTGCATTCTGCTGTATGATACCTACAACCATAGACAGGAGAATTAATATTGAGTACAGTATTCCATGAACTCAAAGTTTAAAGATAATTGTTAAGTATGGTACTGTAATAAAAAAAATAAACAACAGCATCAGAGCGCATTACTTTGTATGTCGGCGACTTGCTGGGTAATAAAGTAGGTGTTTTTATGTATTTAACAGCTTGTTAAATATCTCAAAATTAAATGTCTAAATTGGTACAGCATTCAAGAACGTTGAGCATAGGGTATCCCTATAGGGAATGCCTATGTTTGGTAATGAAGAAGTGTAGTGAAAGCCCACGGTGTGGTGAATGCCAATGGATATTCACCGAGATTCCTTATGGATTACTAGAATGTTCATGAGAAGGAGGGAAGGCACCCTAATTTTTAGAAATGTCACTGGAACATTCAGATGATGATTTGCTGCTTGTAGAGCAATTTCTGTATGCTTTAAGGTGCAATTTACAGGAACTACACTAGACTTCTACTGGGGGAAATAATACAAAATTTCTTGTGGATCAACGATTCGAAATGAGTCTTGTACATCAGGAAGTGTGCTGAAGCTGTCAGCTTCCAAAATTCTAAAATGATAAACAAAAATATATCTTTTTCACCAGGATGGATGGTCTACTCTGTACATCAATTAACTGAATTGGAAGTGGCTACTTAGCCGGGAATTTCCGGCTGAGCAGACTGAAGGCTACATAGTTGGGATGTTAAGTTAGGATGGAAAAGTCATTCTTAATACTGTACTGTACGGTAAATGAGAGTTGTAAGGCTTTGTTCCTAAGGTTTTCTTTATATGGTTAGGTTAGGTTTGTTAAAAAATTATTCCCCTACAATTTTTAGGGTGTTCTTGAGAATAAGAAGAAATTTTCTTCTATTCAAATTTCATGATGTTTACAGGTAACCCATGCACCTCTTGTAAAATTTTACGAGAATTTGTTTTTAAGTTTTTGATAATCATTACATAAGGATGACAATGGGTTTTTCTTATGTAAATTTAATTCTGAATCGATTTTCTTCAATGGTATTTCTTTTGCAAATTGATATTAATGGAGATATGAGCATGCCAGTAGTCAAAAAGATCACCCCTTTTCATATGTTAGAAGCCCTGGGGCAAGCTGCACAGTTTGAACGACCTAGAATATGTTTCCCTATGGTAGTGATTACCTATAGAGATACCCTACACTATGTTCTTGAATACAGTCCATTGACTCATGTCCACCCTTCAATAATGGGCTTCACTCAAAACTTTTAAAGAGTGCCAGTGCTGTGCTTCAAAATCATGAGTTACAGTGTACTATAGCTATATGTAAGAAGAAAAAAAAGGCATAACATATTTTGTGTTCGCTGTCAGTTACCAGCCATTATGTAAGAGAACATATGAGGCATTGCAGATATTAGTGATGACCTCAACATGTATGGGAGAATCCATTTTCTGTGGTAATATCTGTAGAAGTGAATGAACAATATTCCAAGATGCTAATTTGTCAGTAGTATTTAAAAATTAGATGTGCAATGTTTAAAGGGGTGTACATTGGGAAAATGCTCATGGTCATGGTGTTGGCTGGTTGGATAAAATTGATGAACTGGGAAGACAGGTGGGCCAATCAGTACCATGCATGGGCCCTACGTCACAAGGACATCTCACTTCCTCCCAATTATTTATAGAGATTTTTACCATTACAGTATAGTGCTTCTGTTTATTACCTGCTACAGATAATGGAGAAATTGTTAAAAAAATATTATATTTTTGCATACATGTAAAGGTCACTACAGTACTAATAACCACCAAGCCTCTTATATAAGAGCAAGTTTAATAACGAAACAATCAAAACTCTTCCTATAATAGGGAAGTTTATGTTTTTTTTATTATTTAATTTAGTGTACCGAAATGAGATTTTTATTTTTTTTTTCCATATACAGTACTGTACTCTACTGTATAAGTTACAGATTTCCATTTCAGTGAATTCAACAACCAATGGGTTTCTTCAGGGACATGCTACCCCTGTGGTAACAGAAGCTTTATTGTACTGCCATCTTACTTTTCTTATACTATTGTCCTTAACTCAACAAAGTTGGGGGAATTTGGAAGTTTCAAAACACAAAAAAGTGAATAAAAATTAACCAAATAATAAAAATGTAGTGAGTGGACACAAACTGTACCCTAATATTAGTATATCCACAATCAGTAGGTAAAACAAGACTGTTTTCTGGTAGTGTAAATTTCTGTTTAAAAAAATGGAATACTGAACTGTACAGTATAGTGCACAATAATACTTACAGGATTGTGGCATTTTTCAGCTTGAGAACAGTGGTAAAATCACCTCCCATGTGACTATTATTATGCTTGGATTCCTCTTCGACTTTGTTGCTGGGTTATGGCAGTCCATACTTGCAATGTTTGGCTTTGGCAGATCCCAGCCTGCTGTTTCAGACAGGCTTGAAGTCTTTGTCCGGACCAACACTGGAGAAAAGGTGAACGAAACTATTTTATATTTCACATTATTATTATGTATATCCTGAATATAGTTTATGACCTCTGAGATTCTTACTAGGCAAATTTTCTATGGCAAAACCCACTTATGCCATTAGGCCTGATCTGTTTAATGACATAATACAGTGTTCAAACAAATAAGGGCTGCAGCCACATGATATGAATCCTCACTGAGCCTTGAATCAACCACTGGTTCAAACAGAATCAGTTCAGCATTGAGTTATCTGGGCAAGATGTACAGTGCAGTCTACTGCTAACAACAGAAACCATTATCTTGGCTGCCTAGATAGAGTACAGTATCCTACCAATGCTGGGCTCTGTCAGGGGGGTGTTTATGAGCAGTGGTTCTCACAGGTCACTCACTTCTTCTCTGCAGTTATAAATGAAATCGTATTTTAAATGTGAGTCTGGACTAAGTGACTCATTCAATGGTACATGTCTAGAGTGAACAGCTACAACATTGTTGGATGGAATTATTTCATATGTTAGCCAGAAATGTTAGAGAAATAAAGATAGTCAGCTCACTCCTGTGTTCCCTCCCACCCATCAAATTCACTTGTCGTCATGGATCGATCACATTTAACCCCATAACTACTGGATGTCTCACATTTATAGTATTTTATTTGGTTAATGCCAGATGATTTTATTCAGCACAGAGACCCCCTGTTAAAATGGGATTAAAATGGCCTTGGATATATTGCAGTTGCCACCCTAGGCTAACTAGTCATGTCATGAAATTACATCAGCTGTTAGCACCTCATTTGTCACTTGTGTTCATAACTCAGTTCCAGCTGACTTCACAGCTTGTTAAAACTGTTATTTTGTTGTAAAATGGGATTCCAGGTTAAATCCTCCTGTATAACCTTTTGTCTGTCCTAAGTGACTTGTATATCTTAAACCAGCCATTTACAGGAAGGTGGTGCCAGTATAAACACCAAATGTTAGTATGACAGGCACCCCAACTATACAGATATAGTAAAGACCGTACAAAAACTTACCTTACAACTCTAGTGTCAGAATAAAAAACTTATCTATGAATAAGTTCCAGCAGGCAATGTTCTATGGGTTTTCTAAATTTTAACTCCATGGACTTGGTGGGATATGACAAAGTGATTACTGTACAGTACATGCTTTGTTGTCATTGTGGATCCTAAGATTCACTTTGTATAAAACATATGCAAGTTGAGGATATGAACAAATATGTGTGGATATTTTTTCATTGTTGCCTTGGCTCCTTTCTACTGATTACCACAATAGTCTTGCATGAGGTAACCTATTACCCCCCCCCCCTTCTGTATCCCTTGATTCACCCCACACAAAAATGAGAGATTAAAGACAAATAAGAGTTTTATTTAGGTCATTAGATATTGTATACCGGTACCTGTACAGTAAACACTTGTTATTCGTGAAGGATAGGTTCCAAAGAATGGCGTAAATAGGCAAAACTGTGAATGGCAACTTATACTACCTTAGTGCACTACTGTGTACCTATACCAAACAACCGACCAGCCGTGACACCACTCATCCCCTCTAACTTGTCTAATAATTCATCTTTATTTGTCAGGGTCATCACTGACTTTTGCCTTTTACATTTCACAACACTAGCACTGACACTACGCAGTCTTTTACGGGCCATTTCACACAAAAACACTAAAGTTTTGAGAGTACACCACAAGATTCTGTGTGGGGTCACACGTTGTGCTGCGGGAAAAAGATTGCAAGCTAGCCACCATAGCCACCATCTGCTTACCACTAATCGCAAACCGGCGAATGTGAAGGGTCTACTGTACTGTACTTAAAAGTGCTGGAGTTTGTGTTTTGTATAAAATTCATGAAATTTAATATTTCATTAATATTTATAGACAGTACAGTATACAGATATCTGTATTTCTTTTCACTCAAAATTCCTTCTCCTGATAAAAGTGAGTGCATTGTAGTGTATTCTGTCATTTTAAAGGTACAATATGTATTTTGTGTTATTCATTGTATCAGTGGGAGAAAAGAATTTTTAAAGCCGTTTGCTCTTGAATTGCAAGAAAAACATTAGTTTACAAGGGGTCCCCGGCTAATGAACGCCCGCGGATACAAACGGGGTTAAACTTGAAATTTAAAATAATTTATTTACTGATGACTTATTTTTTGCTTTCATTTACTGTATTTTGCCATTCTATTTCTTATTTTGTCTTAAATTAAGTGATTTTATGTGTATATAAAGATTTAGGTCATCATATAGTGGGATTTTAAACATTGTTCTGTAAGTACTGTATGCACATAACATGTCTTCCGACTTACGTACTAATCCGACCTAAGAACATCCTCAGGAATGGAACCCATTCGTGACCTGGGGACCCCCTGTACAATAACTGCCTAAAGTTTTAGTTCCAAGAATGTGAGTCTGTCATATTTTATTTTCATCCCAATGCAATTTATTTTTTTTGTGCTATGATGATATTCTTGCCTGCTACTCATCAAAATTCATAAAAAAAACAAACAATATTTTACATTTATTACATTCTTTAGATTAAATGCTGATAACCAGCATTTAATTTACAATTTCTAGTACAGTAGTTGTAATCAGATTTCAACTACCAGTAATTTTTATTTCTGATGACACTTATATTTATTTATATATAAACTGCTTTACTCGCTTTGCCCTCTTAATCATAATTCATTTGAAGCAATACGCCTCACGGGGTGCCACCACCCTTAATTTTTTCAACAGTATTCCCTGCAATAGCACAAAAAGAGTCATTAATGAATACACATTTGCCAGGTTTCTGTTTGCCTTGACCCATCATGGACGGTGGAACAGATCAAAACTACACTAGCACCTAAACTTAACAGTTCCTACCAAGATCTAAGAATTATATTTGCTGGGAAGGAGCTGCCCAATGAAATGGTAATCCGTCAATGTGATCTTGGAAATCGAAGCGTCCTTCATGCTGTGAAAGTGGTGTCTAAGGATAATGATGGTAATACACTGAAGAGCATAGCCTCAACATCTTCTGGTGCTGTCGCTAAGTTGGAATATATGAATGAAGACCCAAAATCTACTGGAACGATTGAAGCTGAAGAGGAGGTACCAGTATATGTAATGTACAGTACACTGCGTGGTGTGGTTAGAATACAGTACTGTGTTCATTGATTCAGATATAAAAAAATTAGAATCAGTTTAACAGAATCAATTGAATACAGCACAGTCTCTCCTCGACTTACGACGGGGTTCCGTCCCGACGACCAGGTCGTAAGTCGATTTGGTCGTAAGTCAAAAAGGCGAAAATAATACATAGAAATTCTGAAACGAAATACAGTACAGTAAAAGTAATCAATAATGAAAAATTAATAAAGTGTTACTGTGCACTTACCTTTAATGTAGTCAGCTGAATGCACACGGGGCCTCAATAATTTTTTAATTAAGCATGGAGACTACATTAATTGGATGAAGCAGAGGAAGAGACAGGGCCGTCAAATGTCCGGGTTGTCATAAGTCGAGGAGAGACTGTACACTGTTTTATGAGAAATAAAAAGCATTTCTGTCATTGGGATTTCACAAAACTGAAATCTTAAGACATATGTAAGCACTGGGTAGGAAGTTTTGTGAAGAAAATCCTACAGTCTAGACAGAAAAGAGACATAGGATGTGGGTTTTATTCTTTATAGCTGTCACAAGGTACATTTTTCGTCAATCAACAGTTAAGTCTTTCAGAGAGTGATAGTGTTTATCAAAAGAAGGAATCCTTTTATTTAACTACTGTACTAGGGGTGTTGTGGTTGGGTGGATACAGTACTCGCTTCCTGTCTTAGGAGATGCTGATTCCCACCAGGTCAAACTATCAATGAACAGGTACACTCGCTACAGAAAGTATGGCATGCCCTTAAAATTCACGGGGGTTAGGTTCTCAAAATGGCCACGAATAGCCAAATCCGCGAATAACATTTGCGAGGGGGGGGAATAGACTCACATTTTTTCTAAATTTTGTTGTCTTGTTTCTTAATATTTGTGAGAGGATTTTCCATTATTATTTATTTGTATGTGTTTGTGCATTTACACACACACACACACAGGTAAAAGAAATTACTGTTTCTAGAATGAATGGCTCCCTATCCCAGCAGCAAAAATGACAGCAACTTTAAAACTACCCTTAGACATTCTTGGGTACATCCAGGGTGTCATCCGCAAATAATCGAGGTCCACGAATTAAAAATCCGTGAATTGTCAGGGCATGCTGTATCTGTAAGGTGGAGTCTGATGGATGTCAAAATCTTTCGTCCGTTGTGTCATATGGTCTAGCAAAAAATTTTGCACATACTGTACTGTACAGGTATAGTACAGGTTGTACCTCTCTAGTCCGGCATTCTGTGGTCCGGAAACTCCCGTGGTCCGGAACGATTTTAGTTTGTCCAATAGGTAGATAGGCAGTTTTTTTTTTTTTTTTACTTATCTGAATTATTATTATTATTATTACAGGAGTATTAAATTTTTGCCCCTCAGGCCCCAATGTGGGTCAGTGACCTATGCCCTGGTGGGCTATTCCCCTTAAAAAAAAAAGCCGCGGAAAATTAAGGTTTGTTTACATCCGGCAGTTCGGCTGCTCTCTCTCTCTCTCTCTGCTTGTCTATACAGAGTACAACATTTAACCCTTCAATATATATGAGCAGTAAATAAGTGTTGCTTTCATATTCTTATGTAGAGTAATGACGATATATTTTCACATGTGCGCACTTACATACGAGCAGTCTCACTTTTTTTTTTACCATTAATGGTTAGCTACTTATATTGTTCCATTTATTAACATTAAATAACATTACAGGTAATTCAAGCAACCATATTCATTTTTTACATTAATTTTACTACAGCTAAACTCAGGGTCTTATTTTCTTCAGTTTTATATGTAGAACCAATCAGTCACTGGTTTTGTAAGCTTTAACATAAACAATGCCGGCAGCCGTCTCGTCTCCTCTAATATTCCACGTATTATTAATAAATTGTATTGTTAATTTTGCACACACGTACATTGATTCAATAAAAACAAATTCAGAAACATTAATTAAAATATATATGAACAGTAAATAAGTGTTGCTTTCATATTCTTATGTAAGGTAATGACGATATATTTTCACGTGTGAGCACTTACATATGCGATCTCTTTTTCTTTACTATTATTGTTAGCTACTTCTATTGTTCCGTTTATTAACATTAAATAACATTACTTAAAACAACCATATTAATTTTACTACAGCTACAACCAAGGTCTTATTTTCTTCAGTTTTATATGTAGAACCAGTCAGTCACTGGTTTTGTAATCAACGAAAACAATGCTGTGTCATTTCCTCGTGTGTTTTAATATTCTACGTATTATTAATGAATTCTATTGCTCATTTTGCACACATAAACATTAATTCAATAAAAAAGACATTCAGTAATAAACAACAATGAATCTTTTGTACATAAGAGAAATGACGCTGTTTACACGATTATGCACGTCGTCTGCACGTTGGCAGGCCGTTCAAACCCGTCGAAATTCAAGTTTCCGCCGTCAAAATTTTTATTTATTTATTTTTGTGTGTGTTCCAATAAAATACGTTAAGAATTAAAAACTCGCGAAATTTGAGAAGCTACTATACGACATTTAACCCTTCAATATGTCTTCAAAGAGACCATGATGGAGAAATGGGCTAGTCGGCATAAGCACAAGTCACTATCTATCCAGAAAAAGGGTGAATTTCCATGGTCCGCACCTGGTCAGGTCCGCGGGTTGCCGGACTAGAGAGGCAACCTGTACATTTTATAGGGAGTGTACAGAACTTGATTAAAATTGAAAAGTGAATACAGTCAAGTATATTGCCAGCCACATCACCTCCTGTACTGAGGCTTAGTAATCACCATTTTTTTTTTTTTTTTTTGCAAAGCCCTTAATGGACCATCAGGCCTATGGGACCCACTTCAAGATAACAGGTAGTTATTCTTTGCAGCCAAAATTGTATTTCTGCTCCACACTGATACCTGCCAATTTATTTATTAAAAATCTATATATGCCGCTACCTCGCCTTCCAACGGAGTTAGGGACCCAAATCCAGGTCGGAAGTGAAAATGTGAAGATAATACATAGAAAATCTAAAATGGGTCTCTATTTCTTCTCAGCACCACAAAACTTCTCACTTTTACCGTATATCTCGCCTACAAGACGAATTTGAAAAAAAGAACGGCCCAAAGTTAGAGGGTCGTCTTAAGCACCAGAGATAAAATTCTACCTCTTAAATTTTGCGGTTTAGCGTGTCAAGAGTGGTGATGGAAACATGGTAAACCACTCACAAGGTCCTACCACTAATTATTTTATACTGAAACTTACATTTGGGAAGCTGGATTAAATGAAGATTACGGTATATTAAAATAATAAAAATGTATTATAAACCAGTCTAACATACCGTAAAAGAACAATATACCCCGGTAATAAACACAGCTGCTATCATCATCACCCCCTATTTGCCAGTAACGAGAAAGGGAAAGCAACCAGGACAGTGACCGCCTGTTCTTTTTAGCCGCCTTGTGTTCGAGGTGGTCAGTAATGCATATCTGTATATTTACTGATCATAATACTTATCTCCTATAAATAATTAATTTAAAAATTAATTTTACAAAGAATATTCAGTAAATGACTGCGTTAATTTTGAAACTACCGACAGTGGTAAATTTAGGATGAGAATGATTAACAGAAGTCACGTCATGGATTCGAGTTTGGTCCTTAATGATCATAAATGTCTGGTCAACTTCACCTACCAGGTATAATGGTAGCCTCATGCGAAACAAATATATAATTAAAGAAAATACTTGCAGTGTGTTTAATGTATTACAATATATTATAGCTAAATAAATAAACAAATAAATCGGCAAATCTATTTCAAGTATCACCAACATTAGTTCAGTTAAATAACTGACGCTTAAGTGAGTCACTAGTGTACAACAGCGGGTAAATTTGATGCCAATACTTGAAGTGAATTGGCATTATTTAAATAACCAACCATAAATAAATGGAAAAAGATCAAAGGTGAAACATTATATTGTATGTATGTTGTGTTGTCGGAAGAGAAACAATTGAAACTCAGCAATTGTGTGTAAATGAGGCAGTAAGATAAATCAGCAACTGACTTGGTCACAATTTTCGTGATGCCATATGAAGTAGGGTCTACCATTAGACAATACTATACATTATGCTTCCAATATCTTCCCAGGCAGTAGAATCTCCCTGTTTGGTAGCTGCCTAAAACTTTTAGTAATATTACTTTGATACAACATGATAAATTTGACAAACAATGAAAATAAACAAACAAAAGTTATTTACCAAGACCTCTCTCAGAACAGAGGGAGATAAGACAGCTATTTATAGCCTGTCTTTGTAGGAAGTCGACCACACTAGAAATAATTCATTTAAATTTATATTTTTACATAGAATATTCAGTACATGACTGCAATTATAAAATAGAATATATATATATATATATATATATATATATATATATATATATATATATATATATATATATATATATATATATATATATATTTTTAATAAATGTATGTATTAAGTATACAGTAATCTTTTTCACTCAAATCCTAATGAAACACTATTGAATTAGAATACTGTAGCTCTGAAGCAAGCTTATAAATTAAAGAAAATACTTCCAGTGTGTTTAATATATTACAGTATGATATAAATAAACAAATAAATCGAAACCATTTAAGTAAATGAAACAATTGTATTCGACACCGACATTATTCAGTTAAATAAACTTTTAAGTGAGTCACGTGTTTACACTACATCAACCGGTAACGTTTGATGCCATGAAGTGAATTGGCTTTATTTTAAAAACCAAGGATGTGTAAACAGCACTGGTCAATGGGATGGTTGGTAAGGACTACTGGGTCAGTAAGCTCCCAATGGTAAGTGTCCATTTGGGGGAACGGTCTTATACAGCGAATAGGGCTCAAAGCTACTTTTTAAATGGAAATTTTGGGGCCGCCTTACACCCGTCGCCTTGTAGGCCGAGATATCTAAGCATGCCAGCCATTTTAAATGGAATTACAAAAAAAAAAATTTCAGTACACAGCGAATCACTAACTTTGGGACTCGAAAATACATAATTTGAAAAACTTTTGGTACGACTGGGGCGGTCGTATGTCCGGGTGGTCGTAAGTCTAGGAGTGGCTGTATTACAAAGAGTGTTATTTAACATCTCTTTACATGCTCCTCAGTGTACTGTACAAGCAGCTTTTCGGTTAATTTAAATGGGTCACAAAATCTTTAACACTTACAGATGAGAGGCTGTGTGGAGACCAACATATTTTCTAAAGGTACTTCACCTGGTGTCACAGTTTAAGTGTAAGAAATTTTTGACAAAGATGGATACGAGATCTGACACACACACACAAAAAAAGAGAATGATGCTGTAACTCTTTCTATTTACCAAATTAAGAAAATCAACTGTGATCTCCTTCAAATTGCCTTCTGATTTTTCACACAGCTGCATACAATGCTGCCACAGTTCAAAGCAATTCGAGATCATGTTCTGTAAGGTTGTTAGGAGCTCTGGTTTTTTTTCTACCAACAAAAAATTGGTTCCTTTGAGCATGGACTTGATATTTAGGAAGAGGTAGATGTCACAGGGAGCCAGGTCTGGCAAATAAGGTGGGTGCTCAAGCACAGTGATGTTTTTATTAGCTGAAAACTGCTTCACAGACAAAGCTTGGGCTGGTGCCTTGTCCTGGTGCAAAATCCATCCGTTTCTCCACAATTCTGGTCGTTTCCTTCTCACCTGTTCGCGCAATTTCGTCAAGATTTCAATATAATACTGCTGATTTACCGCCGCTGGGAACCCACTCTGCCATCACAATATCCTTGATATCGAAGAAAACAATCAACATGGCCTGGCCTTGAACTTCGAACAACTGCTTTTTTTGGTCTTGGTGATGTTGGTGACTTCCACTGCATTGATTGTCGCTTGCTTTCTGGATCATACGTAAATATCCAAGTTTCATCACAATAATTACCGAATTCAACAAATCTGGCTAGTCCTCAATTCGTTGTAAAAGATCAAAACAAATTTCCTTGCGACATTCTTTTTGTTCATCTGACAGTATTTTTGGAACTATTTTTGCCTAAACCTTTGTTATGTTCAATGCTTTAGTTTGATGCGTTGAACATTTTCCCTGTCTAAATTAATTTTTTCAGCTATTGCTCGAACACCCAACCTACGGTTTTTCTAATCACATCTCTCACTTTTTCAACGTTGTCATCGGTAACTGCTGTGCGTGGACAGCCTGGGCGGTCATCATCTTTCACGGTTTCTCTGCCTTCCGAAAATCATTTGTGCCATTCAAAAATGAGTGCACGAGACATGCAATCTTCACCGTAAGCCTTAGACAATAATTGAAAAGTTTCTGTCGTGGATTTCTTAAGTTGAACGAGAAACTTGATGCTAACTTGTTGCTCAGTTTTGCAGTCCGACATTCTACGACCAAGTGTAAGAACACACTTATACTTCCACACGCGTCCACTTGTACTGTGTGAAGCAATCGAGTTGAGCCCCACACACTGTGACAGGTTAGAACATGTTCAATAACCGTCTGTTTGTCCTTCCTCCACTCTTGGTTACTGAGTTATAGGGTCAGTTTCGTTATTTTTGTGTCAGACCTCGATATCAAGACAGTATATATATATATATATATATATATATATATATATATATATATATATATATATATATATATATATATATATATATATATATATATATATATATATATATATATATATATATATATATATTTATATTATATATATATATATATATATATATATATATATATATATATATATATATATATATATATATATATATATATATATATATATATATATATATATATATATATATATATATATATATATATATATATATATATATATTTCATGTAGATCCACAATGAAAACATGGATAAGATAAATCTTGATAAAATCACTGCGGGAAAAGGGTGTCTCATAGGTTGTGCACCATAGTAAAATTAATTATCTTTTTTCCTTTTTGGAGGGGTGAGAGAATCATAAACTATCAACAAAGATGACAGAGAAATTAACACTAGAGTCCGTTTAATATTCATGTATAGACTGCCAGATGCTACACACAGATCACTTACAAAAACATTTTAATCAACAACCCAGGCATATGGGTGATCACAGTTTATTTCTCTGCCATCTTTGTTGATTTGTTGTGATTCTCTCACTTGAAAAAAAAAAAAACATTAATTTTCCTGTAGTACATGACCTACAAGATATCTGTACACTGTGGAGGAGTAATGTAACCAGTGAAACTTAGATTTAAAGTTGGATACATGATGGTTTACATTATACATAGTACACATTCAGTGTTATAGACCAGGGGTGGGCAAAGTACGGCCCAGGGCCACATTTGGCCCGCCAAATTATTTTTGTGGCCCGCCACTGCATTTGTATTTACAAATACAAGGCTTTACTTTGTGTTAATATAATACATCTGCATCTACATTAAGTGTGGCCGAAGTGTGCCACCATTCATGAAGTGGCCCTCCATCAAAAATAATTGCCCACCCCTGGTATAGACTCTTAGAATCATTTTCTAAGATAACAAGAAACATGTAACACCATATTTTGACAAGAAGTGTAGAGGTAAATATATATGTTATTAACACATTATGGATTATTCCTAATGTCATATTTTTGTTTCACAGACTGAAAAATCAGTAAAAGAATCACAGAATAAAGCGATTCAATCATCAAGTTCTTACCCTGAAAAATCAGCAGTGAAGGAAACTAGAGTTGAAGATGGTGGAGCAGCCATGTCACCATCACAACCGACAGAACCTCCTCCACCAGGCATCATGCAAACAGGGAGTTGTGGACGGCTTCTTTGTGATGCCTCTACTGTCATGACCATACAGATGACTGAGGCAGAACAAAAGACCATTCGTGACCTGAAGGTGAATACACTACCTTAAACTTAATGTGCATGAAAAAATTAGAGTAAAACTAAAATATAATATATCAGTAAGGAGCAATTTTGGATGAAATTTTGCAAAATACTGTATTGTTGATTTCCTTTGTATGCCTCAATGAACAAAAATCTGTTGCAAGAGTCGCAGTGACCATGTGATAAATGCCACTGATTGGGTTTTTTTTTATCTGTTTTTAAATCTCCTGAAGTGGATAAGAATTATATTAAACCTTAAGCCCCGGGTTAGGGTGCCTCTGGCATTACCCCCCACACGGGGTAAATCAATAAAAATCAACTTTCCCCAAAATTATTTTTAACCTTTTTACATGATAAAATAATATAAAAAAAGTAAGAAAAACAATATATTGACCCTCTAGAAACTTCCCTGGCAGTGCAGAGGGAGGGACAGCTTGTTATGATGGTGAGCGCTTGTGGTCACCTACACACTCAGCTTGTCTTTGTGTCCGGGATGGCCAGTAATGCACATATTTACTGATCATAATACATATTTCTTATAAATCATTAATTTAGAATTTATTTTATTTGCATTATTTTCTTAAAAGTGCTCGGGGACATACACGCAGTCTGTAGCCAGGCTGTCTGTGTGTTTAGGAGGAACAGGATGCGTAGAAATAATTATCGGAATAACATAATCATAGCATTATTTTCCAGTAATACTACACCTCAATACAACTACACTACTTTTAGCATTATTACTTTGATGCAACAAGACAAAATGGACAAACAATAGACCAAACGGCTAGTAAGCTGATAAGTGGCGAATATGATAAAAAAAAGAAAAAGTAGGTAATTATGTTCAGGAAGCTTCCCTGTGGCCGAGCATTTGGCATGACAGACAAATAGTCACACTGGAACCTGATAACCCGCACTGGGCATTTAAACAGTGGCGGGAAAAGGCGCGCATTCGGGCGTCATCCGGGAACACGCCAGTCAGGCGTACAAGGCGTCGCCCAGGACATAAGGGTTAAAGGCTTTTTGGGCATTATCAGTGTTAGGTCTTTAATTTTGTTCAATTATTTTTTTAACTATCTGTGCACGTTTACTCTTGCCACAAAAGGCAAGTTATTACTTCTAGTGTGGCAGCAGTGACTGACTGTCTCACAAGCTCAGTAGTCACTTAGCAGATGGTGGGATTGGATGTTTCCATGCTGCCACCTTAAAATAACTTATTATTTGTTTAACTACGTTGTATGGGGGTCCCCTCTCTACTGAACAAAATCATCTGACGTTAACAAATAAATATTAAAAGTGGCATCACCATAATGAAGGGGTTAACAGATTTTCTAATGCTAATTTGTAACAGTTGTGTCTATTTGGTGATAATAAATATAAAATTTTAGTCTTCTACAGAAGTTTTGTCTATTTACTTTACTGTACTGTAGCAACCTTAAAAATCTCTATCACGGTTGATCTTTAAGTTTTTCATTATGAAGGAAAAATAAAAGTAAGATTATTAAATTATACATTTTTTTTTCTTCATTACAGCCACCAATAATTCATATACTGAACAGTAATAAAATATGGACAAACAATACAGGCATTATTTAAAATATTTTTATCTTATTTTGTTGGAAAATTGTGAACTTTCACATTTTCTGGTAAATAGTGTATGACAGGTTGGATCATAAGAAGTAAACACAAATACAATAAAGCTAAAATACAGGAATACCTCGCTATTTGCAACCCCACTTACAGTATCCACAATTGATATTTTAACACCCCGATTTGATATTATAAAGCTTATCCCGTTTATTTGCAAAAAAAAATTATGATACCCTACAGTAATATTTCAAACAGTGTGAACTAGCTGCAGCTCTCATATTCCGCTGTAAGTCCCCCTTCACCACTACAGTTTAGAAATTAATGAAGTTCAATGGGACCGTTCACATGAAGTATGCGCAGGAAAATTCATGCCCTGGAGACGCTCACCCCACGCCTAGTACCTGTACTTCCAAACCACAGTGTGAAAAACATGCTGAGTGTTCTAGAATTCTTCATATGGCAAGGGTAAATACTAGTTAAACACCCACACACACACACTACTACTACTTTGCTGTCACTCAGAATCGAGTATAACGACCATCCAGCTATGATATGAGTTATTAAGGTTGTTGGTGAGTTCTGAGGTAACTAAAAAGGCTGATCTGAGACTGACAGGATCGGTCACAGAAGTAACATTTGTGTGGGGCTACATCTAGTGGAGGAGGGCTGTAGCAGCGTCTTTCGGCGTTGGCTTCTCTGCCTCGTTATGCAGTCGGGCTAGCTGAGAAATATTGACACCCCTTTTTGTGGTGCTCCTCCAAGCGTTGGGTGTGTGGAGTAATCGTCTCCCAGGTGAGGGGGGCCGATTTGGCACTTTTTCAGGTTTGTCTAAGACTATCCTTATACCTCTTCAGTTGCCCGCCAACATTACGTTTACTATTCGTTAGGTGACAGTAAAGTAGCTGCTTTGGCAGTCTACTGTGTCGTCCATGTACATGGCCAATCCAGCCACTTGTTCATGGATAATGGTAGCCTCGATGCTTCTACAGTTGGCGTCAGCAAGAATATTGGCATTTGTTCTCTTTATCTTCCCAGCGAACTCAGAGGATGGAAAGTACTGTAGATTATGTTGGTTAAAGTTTTCAAGTGCCTTGATGTACCTCCTGTATGTGACCCATGTCTCGCTGCCATATCGCAGTGGGGAGGACCATTGTTCGATATGTGTGTGTAACTTTGTAGATAGTTTCAGCTCCCTACAGCCGAAGACACGGTTTCAGAAAGTGGGTAACATTAGTGAGGGTAGTACCATTAAGCTTGATGGATGGTGGAGACGTGGCTGAACCAGGGGCAGGCTGAATGAGAATCTGAGTCTTACATACATTCACCTCAAGGCCTAAATGTGCATACACATCTGCATAGGTGTTCAGGATCTCCTGTAGGTCACGTTCAGCTTGAGCGACACAAGGGTGAGGTCGTCTGCATACTGAAGTTCAGTATTAGAAGCTGCCGACACCTTTGTTCTTGCCTGGAGTCGTCTTTTGTTGAAAAGACCCTTCATCCGGTGCCGGATGTCCACCCCGTCAGCTGGATTTGCGCTGGCATGAGTAAGGAAGGCAGCCAAGAAAATAGAAAAGAGAATTGGTGCCAGTATGCACCCTTGTTTATCCCCCATTTGGATGGTGAAGAACTCAGATTGGGTGCCATTGTGCAGGACACTGCCGTTCATGCCATCTTGAAGTTGCCTCACAATGGCGATGAATTTTGGTGGGCAGCCAAAACGGCTGAGGGTCCACCAGAGGACTTCCCTGTTGACTGAGTCGAAGGCCTTGGTTAGGTCGATGAAAGCCATGTACAGGTCATGACGCTGTTCTCTGCACTTTTCCTGTATCTGACAGGCAGCAAAGATTATGTCAATGGTGCCGAGTGTCTAAATCCACACACACACACACTCATGCATGCGTATTCACTCACACACACTGTAGCCCCTAGCTCTCCCCCTACCAGGCCAAGCTGTTTTATTGTTTTTTTAATTGTACAGTGGTCCCTCGGTTTACGAACACAATTCGTTCCAGAAGGTCGTTCGTTAACCGAAAATTTTGTTAACCGAAACCATTGTTTCAATGGGATATTGGGTAATTGGTTCCAGCTCACAAAAACGTATATACAAAGTAAAGCCAAAAATGCATAAAGTCAGAAACACTCCTATCGCCCTTAAATCACTATATATATATCGTACATATACACTAGAACTCTCAAATCATTACTGTAATGTGATACAGGTGATTAATTTTATCTCGTAGCAAAAATATGAGATTTATATTCAAATTTATCCCTGTCTTGCAAGGATTTCAGCAATGCAAATTATATTATCCTAACTTTAGTCTGAGATATTATATAAAATAAACACCTGTTACAAAGAAATCACCAATATTTTGTCTGGGAACTAGCGAGGGAGGTAGCCAGCGAGCATGGGAAGAGGGGAGCGGAGGCAGGTGACAGAGTGTCTGGTGAAGTATAATTTGTTTATTTATTTGAGATTTTTCTTTTAGCTCATAAAATACATAGAAATTTTACCGGCCAGAATATAATTTACATTGCTGGAATTCTTATAAGATAGTGATTAATTTGAATAAAACAAGCTAAAATTTGTATGCATACAAATTTTAGATCTAACAAGAATTTTATTAGGAGAGCAAAATTTTATCTTTGTGCAAAATATACACTATATTCAAAATATTCCCTGTCTTGCAAGGATTTCAGCAATGCAAATTATATTATCCTAACTTTAGTCTGAGGTATTATTTATTTTTAAATGTGTAAACCTAGTCTTTTTCCCCAAACATTTCTCAGGAAAGTGGGGGGTAGGGAGGAGGGTGACAGTGACACGTTTGACAATTGGCGCCTGTTGTGTGAAGTATTTACTTAATTGTTAATTTATGTCCTTTAGATTGAGTTTTTGTTTTTCTATAAAATTTAATAGAAGTGATTAATTTGAATGTAAACATAGAAGAGATCACTGAATTGGCTGAGTACCTCCTCAGCTTATCAGCTGATGTTCAAAACAAAATGTGATTTTCTTAAGGATTTCGTTAATCAAATTTTGTTCGTTAACCGAATTGAAGATTCTTATGGAAGGTAATTAAGAACCGAGGCGTCAGTTAACCGAGGGACCACTGTACTTTCGGTAGATATATGTAATTTTATTTATTTATTTTTACAGTTACATGCACACACAAAATTTTTCATACATAATGTGCAGATAATAACAAAATAAAAATGATTATTACTGGTACCATAAGGTTAAAAACAAAGAGTATAAACATTTCTAATGTCTGCAGAAGTTAGTGTGGTAGTTTTGGGAGGGGAGAAGCTGGGTGTAGTGTCAGGGATCATAGCCTCCCCCTACCAGGCCAAGCTTTAGCTGCGTTATTGTTATTTTTCACCTCGTATTTTCGGGTAGATATATGTAATGTTCTTCATTTTTTTTGTTACTCTGTTACATGCACACATAAACGTTCAAACAGAATGTGCAAAAAATAAGAGAAATGATTATCATAAGGTCAAAAACATAAAGGGAATAATCATAAAATAATCAATGTATGTGTTAAAAAAAAAATCATATATGTGCTCGTATTATGTCTTTTTGCCAAAAATATTTCCTTGGGAACACATCTCCAATTATATAATGGAAGTCAATGGTAAAATTAGTTTCGCCCTACAGAATTTCACGTTACGGACAAATTTTCAAGGACACATACCTTCTGTACCCCGGGGGATGCCTGTACTGTACTACATTACACACACGATCGTAATCCCTTATAGCCTCAGATATTAGGAGTGTATATTGTAAAATATGTGGAGAAATTAGCCACCTGGGAATACATCACCCCCACCCACCCATTTACGTACATTATATCTTATGGGGAAAATTGCCACGATGTTTGCAACTTTTAAGACTGCATCCTTTGTGATAACCAGGTATTCCTGTATAGTAAATTATACAGTATGTACTTGTGTTTATTTCTGTTTTAAAATAAATAAGGGAGATGATCATGTTTGGTACACTTGACGTTTCAAATTCTGTTAATTCAACTTTGCCATTACTGTACAGTATGTAAAAAAAAGCTGTATCCATTAATTACTTATTATTTTTTAAGTTTATTTTGAAGACCACACCTGGTTTTCAGACAATATTTTATATTAGGTAAGACATCACCAAGACCCCTAAACTGCTGCAGAATTTTATATATGTTTAACCACTGTGTACTGTACAGGTTATATATCATAGTAAGCTTTAAGTACTTCAAGGAGTGACTTGAACAACAATCTCTTGGCTTAAAATTTGTGGATTGACTCTTCTTTGTTCTACATCCTTCACTCTTTTACACTAAAAACAATATGCCACAAAGAGTTTGTTGGTGAATAACACTGATATTTAAAAAATAAAGGGAAACCTGGATCTTACTAGCAAAATGCTAAAAAGAACATTATGAGATTCAATCATGGGAAGTGTTCCATCAGTGGTATTGTAACTGATACAAGCGTGTAAATTGTCATATATTCATCTCTGATGAAAAGCTTGAAAATAATGTAAATGCCCTGTCCTCAAGTTTTCTCTTTTATTAGAATCACTTGTCAGATCTTGATAAAAATCACCATCTTCACATGTATCAATGTCACTATACATGGGAGAGTAATCTTTATCTCCAGGATCAAATACTCTTGTACAGGGTATAGTGGCATGAAATTCCTCCTACAAGGGGTGCCGTACATGAGCAAAGGCAATATGTCTTGACTTGGCCATGGATCCATCCATTACTAATAGGGAAGAGGACTACACTGCCCTTGGGAAGTTGCCAGAAAACTCCACAAAGATGCTCAGTAAATACAAAACATGGGGAATTTGTGGGATGTATTCAGAAGAGTGTGACCCTCTGTCCTGCAATTGTGAGATATGTCCACCAGGGATTAAAGGGTACTAGTTTAAAGTAAATACAGGGTGATTTTTTTTATTCGAGAACCCTAAATAATTCTCACACTAAAAAATATATAAGTTAAGAACCTATTATTTTGCATAAATGTAGCTTGATGACTGTTACATAAAAAACATGACATAATCCACATAACTAATTACCTTAAATGAAGTGCTGAAAGTGTCCACCACAAATTTATTATTTGCGTCATGCTACAGCATGTCGCATTTCTTGGGATATATTGCCATCACTGATTATTGTTTTTAGGATGAATTTTGAGTGACTTGACCGCCTTCCTTGCACTAGAATATGAACAATGAGCTTGTGCTAAACGTCTCGAGAGATTTTTTTGAACTTGCTTCCATTCTTTTCCACACTTCATCCACTTTCTCCGGTGCAACAACACTTGGCTGTCACATGTGTTTTTTTAACTTTAATGCAACCTGTTTCTCTGAAATGCTTCACCAGCTTCCATACCACTGATTTGTAGGTTTCGTATGACCACCAAAGCAACCTTTAAATATAATTTGACATTCCCTAAAATATGCATTCGTGATGTAATGTTCGACGACAAAAACACGTTCTTCCACAGTGAGCGCCATGGCGACATCAAGTAAAAACTGTTAAAACATCACTTACGGGTCACATGATAAATCACGTGATACCTGATAACTCCAAAACTTTAGCTTCTTAATGATATAGTTTTTAGTGTATGGGAATTATATAGAGCTCTTGCATAAACAATCACCCAATATATGCAAGAATACAAAAAATTATGATAATTATGATTATGAAGTTAAAGGTGTGTGTAGCTGCAGTCACCATTATGCACCATACTATGCATTTATTTTAAAATTGTGGTGAAACACACTGGATTTTTCATACAAAAGGGGACCGGGTTTAGGCACCCCTTTACTTCTGTGCTGCTTCATCCACTTATACAACACTGCTTCAAAGTGTGCTGACCTTCTTCCATGCAATGATTTATGCTAACCTGGCCCTTGTTTGTTTTACTGTCAGCACAGAATTGCAAAATCTTGTCAAGCTATCTGTTGTTTCCAACACTATGTTGTCGAGTAAATTTTTTAAACTGAAATTTCTTTGTCTAGTTTTTTACATACATGTACAGCTTTTTTGAATGATATTAAGAAAAAATTTCTTCCTCTTCACACCACTGCAGGTTTCATTGCCTGGGCTTTTTGTGGAAGCCATTGATAGAATAGAATTTCTGAAATAAGAGAAAATTGCAGTCAAGAGTGAAAAGTATAATGCAGTAGGCTGTGAAACAATAACTGCAGGGGTATTCCAAAAATATTAGTGACTAAACTCCCAAAATCAAGCTTGAATTTTTGCACACACTTTCAGTCTGAAACTGTGCAGATTTTTTATTAATATGAAGACACAACTGAACTGTGTTGCTGATGTTCACTGATTCATCCAACTGAAGAGAAAATTTGCAATCTTTTATTTTTTATGTTACTCTTAAGTTCACTGACACTACTATAATTCTTCTTGTTTCTGTGTTTCATAAGAACTAATTATCACTTATATAATAACACTTTCTATCTTCTTGTAGTTGTCAAACAAAGAAATGCATCAACAGCCCCTTCCTTAATTAGTTCACCATCTTCTTGTAACAATGTCATGAGTTTCCTGCCACCAGAGAGTTCCCGCCAATTTCGAGCCAATAGTATAAAGGCCTTAGGCCTGTCTTCGACCAATGAGAAAGCCTTTGAGGCGTGACATCATGAAAGTTATGGCGTCCCTTGTGGGCTGATGCAGTTTGAAAAGCTGAGTCTGTGTTTGGTCAGAGTTAAGTGTGGTTGTGTCCTGGGTGTCACCTCCTCATATGGCAGCTATAATGTGAGTACGATAGGTTTGCTCCATTTCCCGAAATGTATTGTGATTCATATGACCCCTAGGTAGTTAGCTTGGAAGATAGGTTATTGTTTCGAAAGTGTAACTGTTCAATTTGAGTAACGTCGCATTAAAATGAAGAACCATTATGATTAGTTCTCAATTCCCTTGTGTTGACTAAAATATTGTCATGCATGTCTTTGGTATTACGCAGTAATACAGTGAGTCCTAAATAATAAGTATTTCATATTTTCTCCTCTGAAGTGTTGCATCTTAGTTCCCCTGACCAGCCTCCCATCTCCCTTGCTGGTGTGTGAGGGGCCACTGTAGGCCTACATTTCTACCCCTCAGACTAACCACACACATATAACGAACACAGAAGAAAAAGGAATTGGATAATAAAGAAAAAGTGAAAGTAAGAATAAATAAATAAATAAATAAATAAATAAATAAAAAGAATTAAAAAGACAATATATGAGTAATTTGGTACATAAAATGTTACAATAAATATTAGGTACATTAAAATACTGTTACATTCTGCTTTGCAACAATGTGACTAACAGTTGCCACTTTCAGGTTGTTCCTTGGCTTCACAAAAATTGTCAGTTGAACTTTTAACAATTAGAAGTGTTATTCAACTGCAGTCGATCAAATATTCAAAATACCAGTACAGTACCTCAACTCTCTCCTGCATGGCAGATGACACTACAAGTACACAGTAACTGTTGTCACACAGCGAGGACCTCACACTTAAACAATGACTCATTCAGCTGATCACCAACACACAAGCTGTGACACATGGTGAAAAGGAACCTCAATCACACTTACAATTACATATTACAGTATTTTATTGTAATACCTATCTTGTCTTTCAGACCTATGATGGATCAGGCGAGCGTCCCCACTTTTACGTATATTGTGTAAGACCGTGTAACTCAGTCCAAGTGGGAAAATTACGGGTACGATGTGCATCTTGTAAACAAGGTGCTTTGACCCTTCACCGTGACCCATGCAACTGGCAAGATGTTCTCAACCCAGGGCAGGTTAGTACTGTACATATTTCCTGTACTGTATATACTTCATCTTTAGTGCTAAGAATATTCCTCATGGTAATTATGTGACGGTAAGAAAATACAGGGGTAGTTCAGGTGATGCTGGTGGATCTACAGCATAGACTATGCTGTATGTCTAGGTGGTAAAAAAAAAAAAGTCATTTCAAAAGTTTAAATTGTAAAATAGATATATCTGGAAGGTACAGTAGCTAAAACAACTACCTGTGCATATTTTAGGGAAACAATATGAGACCATGGACGATAAATTTGGGCATATGAGGGTTGTCACTAGTCACAGCAATTCGGAGCATATCGAATCCCTACCTGCACAGATAGTTGTTTTAGCTACTGTACAAATACCTGTACTGATTTTGGAAGAGACTGGATTTTAATGTTGAGAAGTGTACCAGTATCCTTTATTTAGTATTATTTCAGTTAACGTTAATTCGGTTTAGCAATAAACAAATTTGGACACCCTTTCTCAATTAACATTAGGTCAAAATTTGGTTTAACAATACCTTGACTCAATGAGAAGGGGAAAAAACTGGGGATGAGGCAGCCTACAAGATGCCATTGTTACATGTAATCAAATTATAAAAGTTGTGGAAAAATCATTACAGTACAATTATCTGATGAAGTTAAAAATAAAGAAAATATATAAAACTATAAAATAAGAAATATGAAGAGCATATATGTATGTGTGTGTGTGTGTGTGTGTGTGTGGGCTGCAACTGCATCACAACCCCAACCATGGTCGCTGACTCCCTCTCCCAATATGATGTCTTTGCATATACACACACGGCAGTAGCTGCCACACGTCTCTGAGTTAGCTGGGTGATTGCCAAGCTGAACTGTGTTACATCACCCAGAGGATGATTTGAGTGCTACAGTACAGTATTGTATTTTGTGAGATGCTATGTAATGTATCAGTTTTATTGTTTATCATCGCAATTTTTTTTTACATGCAATTTGAATTTTTTTTAAATTAAGCTCACCGTTTGCTCACTAAATCATTTAACTCCAAGCCACATCATTTATACGAGGTGTGATCCAAAAGTTCCCGGACTGGCTTCATAAAATCTTTATTTTTCAAGATATTACAGTGAAACTTTAGTCACCCTAAAAATAATATCCAGAGGCCTCAATGCAGCACTAAATCTGCTCCTCCCATTTCTGGAAGCAGATCTAGAAGTCCTCATTGGTGAGGCTGGACACCACCTTCTGCGATGTGTCCTGCATCTCCATTCTGTCCATGAACTTCTTCCCCTTGAGGTTCAAATTGAACTTCAGAAACTGCCAGAAGTCACAGGGGGCCAGCCAGATCTGGAAAGAAAAGAGGGTGGGGGACCACTGGGATGCCGTGCTTGGCCAGAAAATCGTTCACAGAGAGGACAATGTGTGCAGGTGCGTTGTCCTGGTTAAGCAGACAATTGCTAGTCGTCAGTCAGAATTCGGTTAACATTTCCATATGAGAGGTCCAATTGCTCGGCAATCTCACAGATGGTCACCCTACGATATTCATGGTCAAGCTGGTCATTTTCATAATTTCTCTCAGTGGAAGGGCGCCTGGAATGATGCTTATTTTCGAAGGAGATGCACCCTTTTTGAAGCGCTTGTACCACCTGAAAATTTGGCCCTGGGCATGCTTCATCTTTGTTGGCTTCCCTGGTCATCTCATGGGTTTATGCACCATTTTTCCTAGTCTGAAGCAAAATCTGATGGTGCAGCATTGCTTGATACTTTCCTCCATGTTGAGGTTAAGTGGCGACTGACTCATCTTCGCAGATGGTCCGGCACACACACACACTCACAAATTTGCACTACAGCCAGTTGACGCCACCAATTCCTACCAAATCGATACAAACAACTTCTACCTAAAGGTGAGTAACTGCTGATGATTCATTTCAATGTCTGCTAAGAGAAAGGTTTTATGAAGGCAGTCTTGGAACTTTTGGATCACACCTCAGATATAGAAGTTTAGTGTTAATAAATCAATTATTTAACTTCAAAAGCATTTATAACAAACTTATTATAAATTATTAAGGAGTACAGTACAGTAATGGGGTCAATGGTAAAAATAGTCCCATGTTCTGGAATTTTGCCTTATGAATAAATTTTCAGGAATTGAACCCTTCTGGGCCCGGGAATGTACCTGTATAAATGCACAGTAACATAAGAAGAAATAGAAACAATTTTAATAAAAAACAATGATACAGAGGAATATGATGATGATGAAGTTTAGCTTGAGCCTACAACCAGCCTGTCAGCACAGTGAAGCATAAGGGCCAAACTATTTTACAGCAAAGGAAACAAAGAAACTGCAGCTGCTAACTATGATGTACAGTATTTATTTGTTTGTTTTAAGGCTTTTAATGTTTATTAATTTATAAGACCAATTTATTCATTCTTATTTTGTTTTAAAAAAAGCTTAGGCTGGGGGGGATGCAAAAATAAAATGAGCTTAATATTGAATGGGTTAATTATCTATAGTTTTTGTCTATTATCTTACTTTAGAATATACTGTACTGTATGGTGAAGCACCTGTAAGTTTGATAATTTTCCAACATTCACACTTTTTAATGCAATCAGTTAGTAGCTGCTTCACATACAAGGCAATATACCTCTATCAGCCTTCACAATTGTTCAACAGATAAACAGTGGTATCCCTATTGCCCAGAATAAATGGTGCAGAGCTCTTCCGGGAATGAGATCGAAAACAAGACAACTTTCTCAACTTGGAAAAAATCCCACATCCCAAAAAATTTTCTGGGTACTGTGAAAAGTTTTCTGAGAGTCTAAATTATATACAGTTACCCCCACTTAACGCGGTCAATTGAACCCAGAGGGGCCCAAGCAAGTTGAAACTGCTGCTAAGTGAACAACAGAACATATGGGATTAATTCCAATAGAAACCGGCCCGACCCCCAAACTCCACTTTTTGAAGGCACATACCTATGTTGTAGTAAAAATAACATCTTAATTTTATGATGGTACATGCACAATTAATACTTAATAAAGATAGAGAAATACAGTCGCAAGTTAATGTCCATTCAAATAATGGACTCAACTCCCTCTCCCTCTCACACTACACAGCCGGCTAACAGATGGTCGGTCGCCCCTCTCCCCCCACCCCCCCACCAACCGTCCCCAAGGAGATGTGTGGGATAACCTCAAACTTAAAGGATATAATTGACATTGCTGGATTCCTTGTAAGATCAATATTTTGAATATAAATGTCATATATTTTGCACAAAAGATAACATAGTTATTTAGAGAACAATTTTTTTTCAAAAATTGTAAGTTTAAAAACAAAATATATGATGTTTATATTCAAAATGATCACCAAATTATAAGAATTCCAGCAATGTAAATTATATTCTGACCGGTAATTTGTATGAATTTTATGAGCTAAAACAAATATCTTCAGTTAATAAATAATCTTCACGACACTATCTTCAATCAAAGTACCCCACCTTGCCTCTTCCAACCGCGTGGTCAGTCCCAACCCTCCCCCACAATCCTCCTCCAGAGTTTTTAACATTTAGTATTAAATAATACCTCAGTAAAGTTAGGATAATATAATTGACATTGCTGGATTCCTTGTAAGACCAGGAATATTTTGAATATAAATGTCATTTTGCACAAAAGATACCATAGTTACCTAGAGAAAAATTTTATCTAAAATTGTAAGTTTAAAGAAAATATATGATGTTTATATTCAAAATGATCACCAAATTATAAGAATTCCAGCAATGTAAATTATATTCTGACCGGTAATTTGTATGAATTTTATGAGCTAAAACAAATATCTTCAGTTAAAAAAAATAATAATTCTTCACAGGGTAACAGATGGTCGGTCGGCCTCCTCCCCACCCCCCACCAACCGTCCCAAGGAGATGTGGGATAACCACTAAATTTTAATAAATAATACCTCAAACTGTTAGATAATATAATTGACATTGCTGGATTCCTTGTAAGACCAGGAATATTTTGAATAGTCATATATTTTGCACAAAAGATACCAATGTTACCTAGAGAAAAATTTTATCTAAAATTGTAAGTTTAATTCAAAATATATGATGTTTATATTCAAAATGATCACCAAATTATAAGAATTCCAGCAATGTAAATTATATTCTGGCCTGGTAATTTGTATGAATTTTATGAGCTAAAACAGGCAGTCAGGTGGCTGGTGGGGCAAATCTAAAAATATTCGACACTCACACGCCAGATATGTAAAACCGCATGTCTTGGCAAGGCACCGCGTATATGCGAAAACGCGTTAAGTGAAACCGCGTTAGGCGGGGTAAAACTGTATCTTGCTGACAGACACAGAGCTGTATTTATTTATGCAAAGACACTGTACATGTACAGTACATTATGGTAAATAAACAAAGTACTGTACTGTAATGTACTATACTACTGTATATATAATATTGTACACACTATATAAAAATCTAATAAAATGTTTTCTATAGTACTCACCACCAGATGCTATCGTCTTGAGCTTGTGATGTAGGCAGGCCAAATGGGGTGATATAATGATCCAGGATGGCCTACTTTGTACTGTGCCATCTTAAGACAACTGGTGGTGCTAGCTGTCACTCTCCTCTCCCTCCATGAAGGGGGGATTGTACATGCACTGAATACTATACATAAACCTCTATACTAGCTTACAGTAGGCATACACTGTCCACTCTGCCATGTAGAATACTGTAAGTACAGCACTTTCACACTTACTACATGTATAGTATACATAATTACAGTCAACCCTCACTTTAAGCGGTCCCACATTCCGCGTTTCCACGTTTAAGCGGTGCCCTGCCGGAACCTAACATGCTCACATTCCGCGGTGCGTGTACCCCATTATGCGGAGAGCGGCTGGCGAGCCGCGCCATTTTTGGATCCAAACCTCCCGCCATCCGCCATGTTGTGTAAGCTGCGTGAACATGGTGCGCACAAGGTCGCCCAGTCATCAAAACATTATCAGTTCTTCACCCGCCACCCACTACAGCTGGCCCAAGTCAGTGATAGTGATAATTATAGTGAGGATATGGACTTATATGAACTTTGGGGGGTTTAACAAAGAGGCCCTACAAGCCTCTGTGGTGGATAGTGATACAATTGTTACAAGTGATACAGGTGAGGGCCAATAATCTGCCCTCTGCCTCGGAACCAACCGCCCATCCCCGTGTGCCCAGCCATCTTTTCTACTAATGTATGTGTTAAAAAACCTAATATTATTGATATTTCTGTAAATTATTAATTGTGTGTGCATACCATCATAAAGTTAAGATAATATTTTTACTACAACATAGTTGTGTGTCGTCAAAAAGTGGAGTTTGGGGATCGGCCCGGACTCCATTTCAATTAATCCCATATGTTATGTTATTCACTTTACGCGTTTCTCACTTTCCGCGGTACCCTCCGGGTTACATTAACCGCAGAAAGTGAGGGTTGACTGTATAATAAATTTGTATGTCTCAACACTATTCTTGGCTGATTGTGTCCTGGAACAGTAATGTGCAGTACATTACTACAGAATGCAAATTTACACAAAAAACAGCAGCGAAGGATCAACCTTCTACAATGAACATAACATGTCTTGTTGCTAGGCTTTGAGGGGGGTAAGCTATCACAGGCATCCCATGCAGTCACATGACAGTTTTAGTCAATCACAACACACGAGCCCAAGTTACCCAAGCTGCTAGCCCACCCAAGCACCTGAACGTGGGGAAACATGTGACAGTGTCAAAGCAGAATGTAAGACAGTATTTCGTAACTCCCGGAAAATTTGTTTCCATGCCCGGAACAGAAAGGTTTGGAGAGATTTTCTCTGAATTTTTCAAGAAAATAACGATGATTCCATCCTTGGAAATTGTTCCTAGGCCTGGAATGGAGAGATTTGGACAGATTTTTGTGAATTTTTCCAGAAAATGCACATAATTTTCATCACTGGAAACTTGTTCACAAACCTAGAATGGAGAGAGTTTTCTGAAAATTTTCTGGCTCGATTTCCATTCAGGCTATTGGAAAGTTCCAGGGACCGGGGATTCACAACGGGGAGATTACTTATAAAATTCTGCCCATTTATCTGTCCAGTACTTGTCATTAAACATTAAATTATTACTAAAATTAAGGAAAGGCAAATTAACTGGCAAAATCATCAGATATAAACATGATACAATAATCATTCATAATTATAAGCAGGTACTAATCTGTACACAGTTGTCCTCTTACTCACAACATGGATGATGTAGAACTGAAAATTTAACTGGAGATGACAGTTGGTAAGGATAAATTTAATTCCCACAAATCAACTGTGGATGGAAATGACATATCTAATATTAATAGTGCAGTTCTGTACTGTACTGGCAATTCATTTACAAATTAGATATCTAATCAATCATTAGAATTTTCTTTAGTAAATATACTGTAGTTGTACAGGTATTTGTTCTGAAATTTTTAATAAGTATGAAAACTGTCACTTATCAGAAAACTGTAGTTTAGAAAGTTATGTGGATACTTCCCAATTTTCATGGCAGTACGTCTTCATAAGTGCCCTTTCAGATAATCCATCAGTAAGTCCTACCAATGTTTGAAAAGTACATACTCTACAGTAATTCAGTGGTAGGACACATTATCCATGTGGACAAAATTTTTGCTGGAGGAAGCAGTTGTTTAGGCTTAAGAAGTTATATATATATATATATATATATATATATATATATATATATATATATATATATATATATATATATATATATATATATATATATATATATATATATATATATATATATATATATATATATATATATATATATATATATATATATATATATATATATATATATATATATATATAAAGTTATTTGTATTGAAGTGAAAAATAATGGTGTCTTAAAGGAATTTTTTGTGTATGTTATTGTGATGGTGTCCGTGACTTGTATTTCCAATTGAAATATATTGAACAAAATAATGCAATTTGATATTGTGCAACAATTCTCAGTCACACACTCACATTATATCAAGGATTTACTGTATAATACTGTACTTTCAGTTCCATGCCACTAGCCCTCACCCCATCCTCTTGGGTCTGTGACACAATGAAATATAGATTTTATCGCGTCACTTCATCTTATCACTGCACTAGCCGTAACCATCTCGCTTCATGGTACAGTATAAAGTTTATATTGCATTTGGCATTTACTTTACTACATTATCATCTTGACGACTGGTTGGTCATGTCTCTCTTACGCTGCTTGGATGTTTTAGTTGACTGGTTTTTATATGAAGATGTTAGTTGCTTGTTTGCTTCATGAATGATCATTGTGGAATTATTTTATTTTATTTGTTTATTTTTTTTTTTGCCTATACTGGAACCCTAACAAATACCACATACAGTAAAGTAGAACAGATATATTCTTTGTAGTTCTGGGGATTTTTATGAGTATTATGCAGACAGGTAGTTTAGCTCTTTATTTATTGCATTATCATCATTTTCAAATATTGCAAACTGCTGGAAATTACAGGGCCATGCTGCCCCACCTCAATAAAGCAGACATTTGAAACATGGTACAGTCATCTACAGTATTGTTATATGCATGAAAACATTCAGATCATAAGAGATGAAAAGTCCTCTATAGTGAGAAATCTTAGTGGTGTTATACTGTATATTCATTAGTCATTTGTTTTGCCCTTTCAACCAAACAACTGAATTTCCTGCTTCAGTCATTCATTTATCTACCTGTACAGGCAACACTAAGCTCAGTATAGACAAGAGAAAAAATTATCTGCCTTTGGCACCTATGCTATTTTTGTAAAGTTTTGTGCCTGAAATTTACACTATACTAAAATATTCAACTGTTAATGATAGTAATCTTTGCAGATCAGTGCTACCTGTGAGACTTTAGGCTGCAATGGTTCCAAGGCCGAATTCTTCTTCAAGTGTCGGGGCCACGAAACAAGTGGAGAGGATGACACTTCTGTGGCCCTGTACTTGGTTCGTGCAAATCTTCCAGCTATTCCCTGCCTGGCTTGTACAGATGTTTCTCATTCCTGTTGTTGTATTTGAGTGTGTAGATGCTCATGTAATGTGCCTTGATTGTTTTGTCACATTTTGTGTATCAAGACTTAGTGAACGACAGTTTATACAAGATCCAGAATTAGGTTATACTTTATCTTGTCCAATTGGTTGCCAGAATTCATTCATTCGTGAAGTGCATCACTTTAAGTTGATGGGTGACAATCACTATGAGCGTTATCAGCGATGGGGCACTGAAGAAGCTGTATTGGCAGTTGGGGGTGTATTGTGCCCATACCCAGGGTGTGGGCAGGGCATCATTCCGGACCAAGACTGTCGCAGAGTAGTTTGTATGGGTGGTTGTGGCTATGTATTTTGCCGACTCTGCTTACAGGGGTATCATATAGGAGAATGTCATCCAGAAGATGGGAATGGGCCTAATTTTGCAGAAGGCAGTGGAGGGTTTGCTGTTGATCCTTCCAGAGCTGCAAGCTCTCGCTGGGATGAGGCTACATCTGTGGCCATCCGTGTCACTACCAAGCCTTGTCCTAAATGTCGGACACCGACAGAACGTGATGGAGGATGCATGCACATGGTGTGTACACGTGGCTCGTGTGGCTTTCACTGGTGCTGGGTGTGTCAGACTGAGTGGACACGTGAATGCATGGCAGCTCACTGGTTTGGTTGATTTATCAATTATAAAAAATCAATTTTGGTGCAGCTGTGGGTAGAAATGTGGGCTAACCCTTTATTGGTAGTATATTTATGTGGGCTGTCTGTCCAGGACGGGGTATACTGTATTTCAGTATTGTACATAGAAAATGGAGCAAATTTCAGAAGATAATGTTCAAATATATGTAATATATGTAGAACACACCCTAAATGAGATTTTTTTTTGGTATCATTAGAAAGCAGAATCTTTTCTCTACAAATTTATATTTAGTCAAAAAATATGAAAAATAATAATTTCTTGGAAAGTCACAATTTGAACTGGGGAGGAGGGTGGGTGGTGTCTGGACCGATCCACCAGCGTCATCAAAGTAACCAGACAACAACAACAGTCACGAGTGCACCCAAACAATAGCGCGAAAAACCTAAACCTCATATTATGATGTCTGCCCCCTTTTACGCATTTTCCTCTCAAACATCATATGAAGTCTGCTGCGCTTTAAGGGTTAAGAGTCAGATATTATTAAGTTATTGCCAATTAATATACTGTATACTGTAAACTCATTTAGGAATACGGTATACAGTCAGTTGTATATACAGAAAGGCTGCAAGAGGCTGTGCAGCATCAGGTAACTACAGCTAACCCATGCAAGTGTGGAAATAGCTGGAAAAGTTGGTGATACCTTGGTCTCCTCATTTTGTTGCATGTACAGTACATATGTACAGTAAAATTATCACTTTATTAGAAAGATAGTGTGATTAATTACTGTATATTGTATACATCTGTATGATGTGGGTGTTGTCACTCATAATTTTTATTGTCATACTGTACAGTTGTTTTCATTAATGCAGCTTATGTGTCCCATCCTTTGAATACTGTCATACAATTTGCCGTTTTCCCTATGTTGCATTAGTTCCCTACATTTCTGTTGTTCTTTTTCTATTATTTTTCCATAGTCCCTAATTCTTACAATAATAATAATAATAATAATAATAATAATAATAGCTGGTCTTTTGTTTCTCAAAAGCACCAGTTCTTCTAAAGAATTCACTAGCACTCGAAACACAACAAAGTCAAAGACTTGAAAATAAAAATATACATTCGGTACGTACTGTACTACAATAAAAGATCACAAAAAGTGACAGTACAACTTCTATCTTTCATATCCCCTTAAGTTGTAATACTTCCAAAAACTACAGTACTTACTCATTTTACACTACCTCTCTTCGTAGCACAAGCAAGTTACATTTTCTTTCTGCACTTGACAGCTGTACAAGCATGTATGATTCTTTAGTAAATATTTCAAGCTGTGATAATGGATTTTCATTGGTCAAACATGCAGATAATGTTGGGAGCCATATTGTTTGAGGAAAATTCTTCAATGGCATTTCCTTGCTTTGAATACAAATAAAAAAGGGATATTTAGGAAGACAAATGGCAATTTATTGGTATACATATAATGTAACAGCCATTTAATTTAGGCCATTATCAGTGGAACTAATTTGTTAAGGCAACTTGAAAGAACAAATTGCAGCAACTGAGGGAGATTCTGTGTTACACTTGACTCTGACCACACTCTGTCATTGCAATAAAGGACTTTATTGTACTTGTAGAAGTGGGAACAACAAGTACAGGGTATGTGAATGTGTGAGACAATGGTAATGAGGATAACTGTAAATGTTAAACTGTACAAAAATATTAGCTACATTATTTATATCCTGCTAACTAGTGTATGTTAATGAAGTGAATGGTCAACTGACTTGAGTGTTAAGACTTGGAGACAGAGTTTATAAGAAATGCAAAGAATATTTGGGGAGTCAAAAAACGTATGGAATGTGAGGAATGACTGATGAAGCAGAGAGTTGACTATTGAGCTGTTGTGGATTCAGTATATATTATAGTACAGTACCCTGTTCTGTACTTAGAATAATCCCAAGGAATGGGTGAACATTTAGAGAAAGATTGAGAATATGATGGAAAGACAGAGTGAAGGAGTACAAGTCATGGGGATCGTGATGAGGGAACATGCAAAACAATGATAAAACTTTGGTATTAAAACGATTTTCAACAGCTACCATGCAGAGGCCCAAAGTATAAAAATATCTAAGTAACTTTTTGTTATTTATCTTCTGTTTCCAGTTTTTCTTGGGGTGATAAAAGCCTTGAAAACCAAGAAAAGAGGAAATAGTCAGGGAAAATGGTGCAAATTTTTTTAAAAAGAAGCAAGAAAAGGCTCAAATAACAAGTACAAATACTTCACACATGCTTCTGTATATTGTATCCTTAACTTGCATACAGTTTGTCTTATATACCAGAGCTTCACATTCATAAAGAAGCCTTCTTCCACAATTTACTCTTAAACACTTCTCCTTTAACAATGTTATCAGGTCATCACTTGTTTTTCCTCACAGCATTATAGTACAGTAACTCGTACACACATACAGTACTGGTAAAGAACGATTGGAAAGATCCCAACTCCATGAAGCCTTCTTGCACATTCTATACTTACAGTACAGTAATTAACTTCCAATTTTCTGTTTTCATCCATCTGGCATATTAGTGTACTACAAAATGCCTAAATTAATTCACAAACTCTCCATTCATAGAGGCACTACTCATTTGACTCTCCTCTTTCAAGCAGTGTAACTGTCCCTTCTAGTATCTTCCTTAAATTTTCTTCTCATAACTTACCAAAATTTTATACCTTTCTCCAAATTTTCCTTAGATCAGCTAATAGCTTTTGTTACCATTTCACAATTGCATTCTGCAGTCACACATTCTAACTTACATTTCTTGTATTGGTCCACTTATGAACACAGATCCCTGACTTCACACTGCAAGGGTAGTATAAATGTGATAACTTAAACCAGGGCCCAGCCAGCATGTTGGTTTAGGGGGACCAACTTCACTGTACGTACTGGGTCAAGGAGATTTGTTTACTACATTTGGATGAACTTGTCTACTGGTGTGATTTCTGAAACCTATTTTGAAAGGAATTCGTGTGAATCCAAAGGGATTTTTGGAGTTGTTCAGCATAAAGATAATGTGTCAGTAGTTTCTTGTACTTACTGGATAACAAGTTTCTTCTATTTTTGTTTTTCAGTGTGAGAAAATGTGGATAATTTTTCTAGGATAATGAAGCTTTCTTGCTACACTGTCTGTTGTGGGGATGCTGAATGTCAAGGCAGATATAGTACAGGTACTCTACTGAGGTGTTGAGCCACCCACTGATCTCCTTGCAATGGCAGATAAGCATCTAATCACAGTTTTTTTTTTTTCCCTAACTCAACAGGAAGGCTTTGTTGGGGTTTTTGCCTTTTCTATAGAATAAAATAAAATTTTCCACATCTATCTTTAAATTTTACAGGTATGTACAGTATTGAAGAAACAGAAAAATTGGGGGCAAATATTACTTTTGTGGATCCTCTCTGACACTACCAGATCTGGTTTCCTCTCCCTATTCAGTTTAGTCTATAACCAATACAGACCAATTTTCTGACTTCACATCAGCAAGTTGGAAATGAAATGGCATCATGTTCTATCCCTCAGTTTTATAAGATTCATGTTGGACCTTCAGTTATGATTACCGAGAGCTTTGTCTTGGAAGATTTTGCCACGGGATTGTTGTATTGTATTTTAATGAGAGATTAGGTGCTTCTCACAGATGAACATATTCCTTTAATGTTAGGTTGTAGAAGTATCAAGGTAGTATTAATCTTGTTTACCTTGAGCAACCTATGTGGGAGGGGGTATTTTATCTTAAATGTGAGTGGATTGGTTCCCTATCCAAAAGGCTTATGGCTTTACATGATCCATGAGACTCTGAGTCATCAGGTCAATAAAGCATCTTGATATCCAAAACAATACTAATGAGTTGTAGGAAATGGTGAGATTCATTTCCTTGTATCCTTAAAAGTTACATACAGATCAACTCCCAAAATGGGTGCTTTGTTTAGTCCCCCCCATTGTTTTTTGATGAATTTGGCCTTCACTGTTCAGTGTTAGTGCAGGAGGGAAACTGGAGTTCTTTGAGAAAACCTGGGGTGTTTGGTTGGGTCACACTGGATAACATCCTAACTGGCTATTGAACCCGGAATGCAATGATGAAAGACATGAACACTACCGTTGGACCACCAGCACTTGAAACCACCACCTCTCATTTTGGAGCTGCTTTTAGAAATTATAAACTGTGTAGTTAAGGGGTTCAGTGCAGCCATAGATTTAGGATTGACTATGAAATCCTATTTTATGGCTGGGCCCATAAATGCATGACTCAGATGCCCTTCCTCCTCCCACAAGATGGTGTGAAGACAACTTGAACTGAAACACTTAGTGCCTGACAGCCCTCTATGGCTAAACTGAATCATACAAAGTTCAAAATGCTTGTCTACTGACAGTGTTAACAGCTTGTTGCTTCTAGCTTTAAATGGTGAGCTGTTGCTTCTAAAGGTCTCTACTGGGACTTGGTTGTGATGGATAAACAAAACTAAGAGTTAAACCTGAAATTACAACCCAGGACTCAAGGTTGTAAATCTCATTCAGCTTCGTACCAGGCTAAGGGTCCCCCCTGCACAAAGAGCCACTTTCCAGCGACTTTTTGTGGTGGGACAAAAAAGTGGCAGATGATATTTTCCTATCTCCACAAACGAGCCACTTTTTGTGGCGGCCACATATGGGCTTCCATTAGCAGTGTCACAACATGGACTTCGAAGAGGTGGTATGTATTTGTGCTCTACTGCTAAAAAAGAAGAGGGTAGAAACATAAAAAAAAAAAACAGTACGGAGTACCCGGTACTTACGTTACTGTAAATCCCATTTTTAGTTATAGGCGCTCAGAAGTCAGTTTTATACTCTTTATGATCCTAGGCTACATACACTTGCTAAATAGACGGAAAATTTTTATATTATTGTATTACTGTATATGGAATTTGTTGGTATATTACATGAGAGGCTATAGACAGTTCCAGATTTTATTTTGGCTAATATTTCATGATCCTAGATTGCATACAGATGCTAAATAGGTCAGTTTATATGTTATTTTATAGTATAAATCAAATAAGATTACAGTAGAGGGTATATGCATTTATAACTACAGTAATATCTCTGTCAGCCAGAATCCCTCAAACCCGGAACTCTCCGATAGCCAGAATTGAAATTTTCCGAGGGGCACATTTTCCAGAAAATTCTAAAAAAAAAATTCCCGATACCCGGAAAATTATGGAGATAGGGAGTTTTTCTCAGGGATTGAGAGATGAAAATCAGGCGCATTTTCTGGGAATTGCGAGAAAAAAAATCCGTTAACCAGAAAATTCCGGGGATGAGGGATTTTTTCCAGCTTTGCGAGTCGTCTCATTACCCGGAAATCAATCATTCCCGAAAGTGCTCTGCACCAATTGTTCCGGCTAACGGGGATATTACTGTATTGTTTTATGTAATACTTACTATTCTCACTTTTTTCTATTGAAGGAAGATTACTCTAGTCACTGATGATGGCTTCACATACTTCAATCTACAGTTTTTCTTTTAAGTTTCTACTAGTATACAGTACTGTATTACTTTCATTTTAAATTGTAAAAAGCTGGACACTTCTGAACTTAATTAATTATTCAGTCAAATAGTTCTTTACAAGATACAGTATATTTATTGTCATATGAGGAGACAGCATGAGTGAGATGTTCTGCACCTCAACATCAGGCAAATACCTACAGTACTGTGTACTGGACTGTACTGACGTATCTGAAGCTAACCACAAAATAGTGGTTCGTGTGCGCACTCTCATTTAAAATACTGTACTGTACTTATTTCTACCACTGGCTACTGGTGGCCAGCCACTGTGGTGTGGCAGAGTAAATGCATCTGGTTGCCATGTTTTTGTGGCTGCCACAAAATAGTGGTCTGTGTACCACAAAGTGGCTCGTGTGCAGGGGCCCAAAGCCACAAAACGAAATTTCAGAATCACTTCTGTACACTTACAATTTCTTCAAACAACTGCTGTCCTTAGCTTTATTTTTCCTATCATTATATGGAGCATACATGATAATCACAACGAAGATGTTAGATTTCATCTACTTACAGGAAACTTTCTTTCATACATCATTCTTTTCTCTGCCAAAACTTGCAACATTCTCCAGCAAGCCAATCCTTACATTACACCATTCACCTTGTTCTATGCAAACTTCTCACTATAATACTTAATTATTTTTGACACACCCGTAACGTGTAAAAATTCTTATTTCTACAAACATATACCGCTTCCATTCTTTTGTGAAACACGCGCGTGCACACGCACACACACACACACACGTTATATTCTCTCACTGACTATTCTGTTCATGAGGTATCATACTCAGGGAAGAGGTCCCTAACCTCAACCCTCCATTTTAATTGCCTCTATGACATGCAAGATATTTAGAGGACCTATTCTCAGACCATAATCCTAGAAATATATATAACAATATTTTATGTAATTGACCTTGAGTTGTAAAGTTGCTGCACTTCAATCTATCCGAGTTCCTTCTACGTAAATCAAATGTTAAAGACCTTGTAAAAGGAAGTTACTGTACATCATCTAAAAGCTCACACACTCTCAGCACTTTATATAAATACTGTCCTGGTAGGTGGAGAGCTAAGAGGATGTAGCTACAGGGACACTCTAACTTAGCGACATGCCAAGTCCCCACATACATTCACATACACATACACACGCATGCTCTTCTAAATTTCTTATTTTAAAGGAACATATTTTTCGATATACAGTATAGGTACTCTCCATATACTGAAATGCAATAAAATAACTTCAACCATAAAAACAATACAAAAGAATAATAATAATAATAATAATTAACGGTTTATTCAAAGAGCTTGGCAGCCAGAAGGCTGAAAATATACAGTTACATATTTGGGGAATGGGTTTCGAATTACAAATAATATACAAGTAACATAAGTGATACAAATAAGATCTATAATAACTAGATGGGGAAAAGCTCAAACTAAAGTGCATTTCAACATAGTGACAGTGCAAGAAGTAGTATTTACTGGGAGTGAATACACTGGTTTATTACAAGTTATTGATAATTTTTACAATGGTTGGGACTGGGCTGTTCTTATAGCGATCAGTTCGTGCACGTATGGGCTGGATGCGGTTCTGGTGTCGAACAGCAATTCTCGGGCTAGGGATCTTAGGTGGTAGTAGGAGCCGGTGTCGAGGATGGTGTAGAAGCTTCTTACCAAATTTGCAGATGAGGTCGTGGTGATGGTCAGTGAGAGTCAAAAGGGTCAGTGTGTTGAGCGCTTCTTGATATGTGGAGTAGGAAGGGGAGAGAATAATCTTGCATGCCCTCTTTTGCACTTTTTCTAGGTGTTTACATTGTGTGGCATTTAGGGAGGAAGACCAGATAGGGGAGGCATAGGTGAGCTTGGGAAGTATGAATGTTGTGTAAACACTGAGGAGCTCGTGTGCAGGAACTCCGAGGGACTTGAGTCGGCGGAGGAGGTGGAGACGGAAACTGGAGGATTTGACAACTTCACTGACGTGTGGTTTCCAATTTAGTTTGTTGTCTATGGTGATGCCGAGGAGCTTCGTGGAATCTACAACCTGGAGTGTGTTCGGACCTAAAGTAATGGAAGGAGGTGGGACAATGTTGGAGGAGAGGTTGATGTGCATAACCATGGTCTTGGTATGGTTGATGGTGACATGGTTGTTGGTGGCCCAGTTTTGGAGACTGTTCAATAAATCCTGAAGGGCGGTATAGAATACTATGTGTATGTGTGTGTGTATGCAAGCACTCTAGAATTCTTCATATAGCAATGGTAAATGCTAGTTTAAATGTTTACACTGATTTGAGTGTTAACATTTAAACTAGCATTTACCATTGCTATATGAAGAATTCTAGCATACTCAGCATGTTTTTTTATGCTGCAGTTTGGAAGTACAAGTACTGTACAGGCATAGGGTGAGCGTCTCGTTTGTGAATTTTCATGCGCGTTCTCTGTGTGAACTGTCCCATTGAATTTCATTAATTTTTAAACTGTGCGGGTCCTCGCGCGTGGGGGGAAAAACACACTCATGTGAAGTGGGACTTACAGCAGATAATGAAAGCTCCATCTAGTCCACCCAATTTGAAATATTACTGTAGGGTATCAAAATTTTCCTTTGCGAATAAGTAGGGTATGCTTTGCGAATATCGAATGGAGGTGTTAAAATATCAACTGTGGATAAGTGGGGTTTCGAATAGCGAGGTATTCCTGTATGCTATGTAAGAACAATATATTATACAGGTACACTACTCAAAAACTAGACATATTCTGTGGAAGACGCCCATAAAACATTGATGATTATGACAATACATGCAGTATACAATACTGTACACTGTACAGTACTGTAGTGCAATTTCTTCAATAGCTAGCTTTGTAAGTGCAATATTATAAAGTACTCAGATATAGGAATAAATACTTTGTTAGAATACAATGCCATACCATATGTCTTGTCAAGGTTTCATCAGCAACTATTTTAAACCTGAAGAGTACAGTTTCAAACAATGTCTTGTACAGTATACTAATGTGAAATACACAGTACAGTACAGGTTGTACCTCTCTAGTCCGGCAACCTCAGGACCTGACCGGTGCCGGACCATGGAAATTCACCCTCGAAACACCCTACATAAAGCATAAAAACATAAGATAGGAAATAAATAAATAGGAAAAAGTAATACGGTTAAAATACTATTTCATTTACCTTTAATGCTACCATAATTCTGCTTCCAAAGTGAAGTGATGGTACTGTAACTAAAATTTCATTTGAGTTACATCAGGGATGTTGGCTATTGGGCAAACTAAAATCGTTCCGGACCACTGGAGTTTCCAGACCACAGAATGCCGGACTAGAGAGGTACAACCTGTAGTATGATACAGGTATAATCTTTACTAAATATTAGTATAAAGTTAAAGACATAATACTGGAGTTTTTTCTTTGTGTTATGTGAGACAGTTTTTATCATTATCCAGGATGCAATAAACAGTACTATACAGGTTTAAATACTGTAGATCAGTCTTCCAATGTGTTATCCTATTGTTTACCTGCACTATGTGCAGTACTTAAGGTTGTATATGTTACTCATTTCACACACTTGTAAATACAGTACTGTACTGCTATTAAATATGCTATACTGTACACTAATATTATTATATTTAAAGCATTAATAATACCAAATTTATTTATTGTCATATTTGCTTTGTATTGTACATTTAAATTTGACCTGTACTGAGTATAAACATATTTAAAGAAAAAAAACCATAACAGATGTGTTGTTATTGTTCCATATTGGACTGTTTTAAATTTGTTATATATTTTCTGATATTGTATAGTTCTCATAAAATCTGATAATATTTGTCAAGGTTTAAATATCATGTTAATTTTTCACCTCTCTTGAACACTCCTTCTCACTATACCACATTCACTTCCCAAGAGTCAATTTCTTCATACTACAGTATATTCAATCAGTTGGAAATTTCTGTACAACACTCCACAACTTGTCCCTTTTTTAAATTTAATATTTATGAATACAGTTACAGTACTATATTTTTCTTATGAATCCTCCTACTGTAGCTTACATGTCACTTCTTACTGCAACTCAGCAATATAGCTGGAGAGGTCATAAAGGAGTAAAATCAATCCTTTCCCATATCCCTGCCTAAATAGAATGATTACAGATACAGTAGGCCCTTCAAATTCCTGGGGATTAGGTTCTCAAAATGGCCACGAATCGCCAAATCCGCGAATAACATT